GACTTGCGTCGTGCCGGGCCGCTGACCCCCCTCGGTCCTTCGTCCCCACAGGTACCGGCGACATCCCCGCGTCCACCAGCCTGCCGCCGTTAGTGGAGGGCCCGCTGCGCTGCTTCCTCCGCTGCACCGTCTCCCGAGTTAAATGGACGGCCCCCAAGCTGCCCGCCGCCGCCCTCCTCGTCCGCTTGAGGTGGTGGGGGGAAACTTCCGACGGTACCGTCTTCCAGCCCTCCTCCCGGCCGGGACAACCGGCGGGGAGAACCAGCGCCCGCTACGCCGTCCGCTGTGGGCCCAGGCAGTTCACTGCTTACCTGACAGGTAGAGCTGCTTCTCCCTGGTCAGGCAGGGCAGGGCCAGAGCTGCGGGGAGACCCGCAGAAGCCGACGAGTTACTTACCCACCAAGTAACCCCAGTTCTCTTCTCATTTATGGCTTTTTTAGGTCGTTTTCCTGGTTCAGGAGGCTATTGATCTCAGCCTGGAGTTGCTGGCATCAGTCTTTCTAGTAGTCAGGTTTAGTGCAAAAAGTCTCCTGTAGTCCTTGTAGTGTCAAGATCAGATGATTTTTAGTATTATGCATCTCACATTAAACGGGCATTTCAGTGTTCTAAGGGTATGAAGAATAAAAAGGTACTTAGTTGACCTTTTAATATTATTAAGGTCCTTAATTTAGTGAAAGATCTGCAGGAAATGAACGCAAGCCTAGAGTCTGTAAAACCTGTGCCTGCTACCGTTACTTGTAGAATCATAGAATGGTTTGGGTTGGAAGAGACCTTAAAGATCATCCAGTTCCAGCCTCCTGCCACGGGGAGGATCACCTCCCACCAGCCCAGGTTGCCCAAAGCCCCGTCCAACCTGGCCTTGAACCCTTCCAGGGAGGGGGCAGCCACAGCTTCTCTGGGCAACCTGTGCCAGGGCCTCACCCCCCTCACAGGGAAGAATTGCTGCCTTAGATCTCATCTAAATCTCCCCTCTGTCAGTTTAAATCCATTAATTGTAACGAGTCCTTTTGTGGTAAACTTGTACTTATTTATCATAATTTCTTATCAGTATAACACTTCTTTACCTGCTGCCTCTACATAATTTCATGATACGACATTATGTTAACCTCTAGCATCTCTGTCATTTTAACAGAAAAGTTTTAACTGTGTTTAATGTGACCGTGTTGTGTGAGACTGAAACAAAGCTCTTCCTAATTTTTTCAGATATGGGTGTGCTTGTCCTAGAGGTAATGACCAAACTTGACCACCTTCCAATTGGCAGAGTGCAAATCACTGGACTGTCCCAGCTCTCTCCCAGCCACCCAATCAGTGGGCTTTTCACTGTGGTTTCACCAACATCTGATAAACTAGGAGAGCTCCAGGTACTTACATCTATGCTCTTTATTATAAATTGTATTGCTGTAATACCAGTATAATCTGGTGCTGGGATCAAGCTGTATGAGCTACGCTGTAGGCCAGGTCTCTGTCCAAGGCATGCATAAACTAAGAGAGCAAATGAAAAATTAATATTGGCGGTGTTGACTGTTTTGTTAGGAAGGATGTGTGGCATTGGTAGTTCAGCTTTAGAAAATCTGTAGTCTCTACGCTGAGAGTGAGTTTTAACAGATTTAAAAATGGATATTTAGTTCTAACACTTCTCCACAGCCTCACTGGTCTGAAATTGTAGATGTTGAAATCTGGGATTAAGAAGGTGGTGTTCTGTTTTGCAACCCTGGCTCTGGATAATTTATCCTGAAAGATGGTTGCCTGTGATTTGAAAACGTGGAATGTGAAATAGGTGGTTGTAAATATGTCAGAGTTTTATGATGTCACATAACTGTACGATAATAAATATTACTTGGTGTCGAAAGGAACAATTTTCTGTAGTGTGACAAGTGGAACACTGTGTGTTGTACTGAATTAAGAAAAGAACTAAATACTCTTTTCACCTTCTATCTTTCAGGTCTCACTAGTCCTAGAACCTCTGCCAGCCCTGTATGACACCAGCAGCTCTATCCCAACCACAGATACAAGTTCCGATATCGCTGCTGCTCAGGGAAGCAGCAAGCTGCAGTTTCTTGCTCCATCACAGCAGTCGAGGCAAGCGCAGGCGACTATTGCTGGCCAAGAGTCCGTTACTAACAGCAGAGCCACAATTCCCAGGTATCTTTTTTTTTCCCCATGACAAAACTCTGGTTTATTTTGAAGTTCACACACTTTTTTTGGAGTAATGGCTCTTCACTTGTGAGTTATGGAATACTTGATCTTTTTGAAAGTGCGTTTTATATGAAATCCAGAACGTTCAGCATTTCAGAGCTTACAGGGACAGTTTCTCATCTGATATATATTCACATCCTATGATGACTTAATTCAAGCTGTGCTAGTTGACACAAGAGGTGCCACAAATCTTTTACTTCCAGCTTGAGTCGGTCTTTCTCTGACAGTATAAGTGGAAGATGAGGAGTCATTAAAATAATGTGTTGCTTTTCTTTTTGGAGCATGTACTGAAAGGGGGCAGCTGCAGTGCTAGGGAGAGTTTGAAGAGTTTTGAATCCCTTTACTGATCCACTTTAGTTGTTAACCGAAATAATGTTTCATTTTTCAATAGAGGAAAGGACCATTTGCTCTTTCAAGAGAACTCAGAAAACATAAAGGACATTTTTTCTGCTTCTCATCACCATCTGATTTTACCAGATGAACGTTTGAAAGTGAATCCTTCAAATCAGCAAGTGTCGTTTCCCACCAGCACAGATCCTGAAGCACCTGCTAGAACAAACGTGCGGGTGCTCTCTTTGCATAACCCAGCTACAAAAGACCTGCTGTCAGGTTTGTTTACAATTGGCATCATCTTTTAGGTTTCACAATAAATAGCTCTTGATAATATTTCAGGTGCCTACCTAGAGATAAAGACTTAAGGGACAGCGATACTTTGCACGCTCTCACTGTGTTATTTCAAACAGAAAACTGTAACAGAAAGGTCTTGATGTAAAAACTACTGATTTAATCTTGTTGGAAGGTGGCTTGAATATCCAGATCAGGCAAACCATGCTGACCTGGAGGGGTAAAAGAAAAAGCAGCTCAGCTTCACAGGCTGTTTAATCATTGACATGTCTTCCGAGACATCCATCAACGGTGCCACTCACGTTCAAACAGGTCTTAGGAGGGTTTCTGTGCATTCTCAGATGAAAAATGATTTCTTTTCCATCACCTGCCAGTTAGCATCCCTTTTAGATCACAGACCGCCTGGACTGGATTCAAATGAGCATCAAAGTAGGGCACATTTCCATATGTGTTGTCTGTTGAGTTGGTTTTTATGTTTACAGAGGAGACCTAAAATTAGACTGCTGTTGAGACATCCTAAGGTGACGAGCTGCTCTTCCATAAATTAATCTTGCTGCTGTATCTTAATAATGCCCCTCTAATGCCTGGCTTGGTGTGTGCAGATGAGTTATTTGTACGGCTTTGAGTGGGAGACTGATAGACTCGCTCTCTCCCAGCTGTGCTGTCTGTTTTATGGTGTGTAGCACGCACTTAATCTCCAGTATGTCAAGATCTCTTTATAACAGCAGAAAACAGAAGTTTCTTGACTGTAGCTGGCACATTTATTGTGTTTACACATTGCTGTTAAATTGCATTTGAATGCTGAGATTTAATGCTTCTGCTTATTCCTCAGCTCTTTTGGATCAAGGCAATAAACTCCGTGATGCCATGGTTGTTTCTGCAATGAAGTCTAGCCCAGACATGGAGATTGAATTGAATGAAGTGCCTTCTTTTATAGAGAGAGACAATTTCAAAGCAACAGCAAAGTGAGCCTGGAAAAGGAGGAAGTCACATTAAGCTCCAAACCATAAATTTTGATACCTTACCAGGAAAACATGATATGCTGAGATTCATGTGATGTATTTTATGATTCTCGTTCAAACGGGAAATTAATTTCTATTTGTGAATTGATTTTAATCATCATGTAGTAAGATTTGACTTACATCATTGATTTTAATCTTGTTTCACGGTATATTTATATTTAGTATGGAGTTATTTGATAAGGAAATATTAAATGTTGATAAGGAATAAGAGTAATGCGAGGAACATAGCAAATTAAATGGTACTTTATCACAGAGAACAGGTTTTCAAAGAAATGTAAGTAATTAGTGGCATAAATTGAGTACGTTTGCATTTCTCGGTGCCAAAATACTCATGAAAATTTACATCTATAACTGTGTTCTCAGAATTAGTAGTCATTATCTTCTTCTATATCTTTCTTAGCATACTGGGGGGAAAAAAAAGTGTTTGTGCCTTTTCAGCTTCAAACTCCAACTTTGTTTAGTACTGAGCTTAGTAAATGTTCTCAATTCGGTGAAATTGAAATTTAGAAGTATTGAGACAAATGCATGTTTTTTACAAGAGAAACTTCCTTATTTTTGGGAAAAGATTAACAATGTCTTTAGTTCTGCTGTAAATCAGAAAATTGTCTTTGACAGTCAACAATGCTGCTTTTGCAAGCACAATTTAAATTATTTCTGCTCAAATTATTCCAGTTTGTTTAAAAGTAGATTGTTTTGGGCTTTCCAGGAAAACCTGGATGTTCCAGGAACATCACATAAACATCTTGCTTGTCTTTCTCAGGCCCACTCTTCTTGTTTGCAGCAATTGTGCTTAAACTGCAAGATTGGGCCAATCTTTATGGTTGGACTCGATGATCGTGAAGGTCTTTTCCAACCTAAATGATTCTGTGATCCTGACACATTGCAAAGTGTAAGATTTTGAATGTGACTTGTAGCAGACTGCAGAGTTGCAGAAAGTTTTTGTCTATCTAGAGATTAAGCTACAGACCAGAGAAGGCTGTACATACCTTTGATTTTTGTCCTTGGTGGATTAATGTTGAACATGCCTTAAGATCTGTATTTTTCCTTTTACTGCTCTCTGTGCTGCCATCGCTCTTATCTAGGAGCCCAAAAGGTTTGGACTCAGATATTTTGCCCTCTCCTGAAGATCCCCATCTCGTCGCATCTGAAGTGTCAGGCCAGCCGTTTGACCTAAACTCTGAAGAAAGAGCAATACAGTTACTGTTGGGCAGGTGAGTGTAATGCACTGGGGGTTTCTGCAAAATTACCTTTATTTGAGCAGTTTATACTGAAAAATGCCTCTTGGCTCTTCAAGTTCTTCACATTTCTGGAAATGTAACCTGTGAATCATATGTGCAGGTGATGGAGGTGTTTTATACCTCAGCTTGCACTCTAATGTATGACAACCTAGACAGCTCCGAGTCCCTTGACGTAAAAATAATGTCAGAACGATTAACTATGATCTTTAATAAGATTAAGTGATTTAATAGTTGTAACTGTTGTGCCCTAAAATGTGAAGTACATAAAACAAATACAGTGTTTCTTTGAAAAACTTGCAGTCTGTAAAGTAAAAATAGCGAGAACTGACAGTTATTTTTAATCTTTCTCCAAATATTAAATTGACCTTTTACTCTCATTTTGTGAGGAGTAGTAAGAGTATAAATGATGTAAATGGTTGTCTTTATCCAAATCAGGAGTATGAAGCATACAGCTTCTGTGTCAGATACGGTTTAAAATTTCAATTCATGTCTTGTGCCCTGCACTTACTCTTTCCCTGTGGTTTATCACTGGGTGACACTGCAGTGTTTGCAGGTCATAAAATGGTTTTGAACTCAGAGCACAGATAGAAAACCCTTAAACCAAACCAACCCTAGCTTGCTCTAACCATGCTCTGAAGGCACTTGTATTTGCATACTCAGATATAGCTTGTGTTTATTTTTTTATTAAAGTAAACCATCCTTAAGGATTACTGGTATCTTAAAGCATTCAAAAAGTTATAAAGTACTTAGGGATAACTATTATAGATAGATATTAATAGATATATGTTATGATGAGGGTCATCAAGCACTGGAACAGGTTGCCCCAGGAGGTTGTGGAATCTTCAGTTTTGGAGATAATTCAAAATCCAGCTGGACAATTTTCTTATTTGCATCCTCTACCTTTGAGGAGGAGTTGGGCTAGATGGTCTCAAGAATTCCCTTCCAACCTCAACTGCTCCATGATTCTATGGCTGTATGTTCACACACACTTGTTTCACGTTGCGATCACAAGATAACCCGTTGCGTTGGGTCACAGACGTGTATCAGGTTGGGCACGGTGCTGTGTGAGCACAGTTTGGCTGTACCTGGAGCCAATATAGCACAAACCCAGTACAGAACAGACGGTATTGTCAGAATTCATAAAACACCGACTGCAGAACTTGCAACGCTAAGTTATGTTTCTTTCTCTTGTGTCCACAGTGCTGATTTATCTCCTGTGCATTTCTGGGATCGGACAGGGTCCCTTTTGGATTCTCTCTCTCTCGGGAGTGAGGTGTATGACAGTGAGCTCAATGATCCCCATTACGACCAGAGTCTGCTAGAGAGTCTTTTTTACACAGCTCCTGTAAGTGGAGATCAAAAGGAAGGTGCTTAATATGTAGTCCCTAAGGTGAAGAAAACCAGAAGTCTGCGTCAAAAAAAAAGAAAAGCTACAGATTTCAGTATCAGTAAGGCTTAATAAGCATTAAATATCATAAAGAAGCTTGTGAAAACGTTGCTTACAATTAATTTTATTAAAAGAATACTGTTAAGACCACAAAGTCAAGCATTGAGTTTGGAAATTGCTAGGATTGAGTCTGTCCATGAAGACTTTTCTTTAAACCCCCGACAAATTTTGATACAACTTTGTTTTGAATTATGCGATCTGCAAGATGTTTCTTTTCTTTCTTTATGTATCATGACCATTATGAATCCTTCTTGACAATGATAGTTAACTTCTTATTTTATGTGTGTTATTTCTGTTTCAGAAATCTGATTCCAGTTTAAGTGATTTCCTCAGTGATGATGATGCTAATGCCTCCAAAAAAGTAACCAAGACAGAAAATCTCAAGAAAACTGATCCAGTGAGTGCACAGAAGGATTCCAATGCCTTTGGTCAGGATCAGAAGGTGATAGAAATTAAACCCAGGTAAATACTTTCATTAGTGACTTGTTTTGCAGCATCTTGCTTCTTGTAAGGTAGTTTAGCAAGAATCACACTATGTTATTGTGCTCTGTCATTATCACACAGTTCACTGAATTTTGGTGGAGAATTCTTATAGCATCACTGGCAATGATGGAGCATCAGCATCACCCAGGATTTGCTATATGTTGTTAAAGAAACTATTCAGATGCAATTGGTTAAAACCACAAGTTTGCCAAAAATGCAGTAAGCCTAGTAATAACGTTTGAAACTGTGGAAGCAGAAATGCTCAGGCCTGAGTGGGCCTCTAGGCTGGACTCTGTCCCTGACTCCTGAAACAATAATCACTGTGTAACCTTCATGCTAAATTAGTTCCTGTGTGGAAAAAAAAACAGACTCCAGACCAGCTTTGTGCAGTTCTGGGGCCTTGTGTATGTAACAGGTATGAAATAACTCACATCCCGTTGTCTGTCTTTGCACAATGCCTCTAAGCGTATAAAATTTGTATCTGCTTTACAGGGACAGAGTTCACATCAGCAGAGTGTTTCTTTGCTGATCTATGTTCTCTCCTATTGCTGTAGTAACTAAACTTCTGTTCTGACCTCATCTAAATCGTATTCCCTTTTTTCCATGATAGAACCAATAAAACAGTGACCCTAAAAACCCAATTATCAAGCTTGTACAAAACCATTAAGGTTTTATGATTATTTTTTTTTTTTAAGTTCAGCTTCATACAATTATTTCTGAAACTTTTCTTACAAACACTGCTATTTTTACATTCAGGTAAAATTCCTATCTCCAGAGGTAACAACACAAAACCATTTACAAGTCAAGTCTCACAAATGAAGTGCAAGTGAGATTTTAAGTTATGATAAAAATCTTGCTGTTCCTCTGCGGCAGTGACTTGTCCATGTGTATAACTGTACCTTCTCCCTGTTTTTTTGTATATGACGTTCAATGAAGCTTTTCTTTTTGAAGAGTTAAACTGCGTAACTTTTTTTTTTCCCCCCTCAATTATGTACCCTAGATATTGTATATTGTAGGGTTTCTGTTACGGAGACCATCAAATGTGTTGTAAAAAATACATGTTAAATGTGCCTTTTAGTGAACCATGAACAGTTTTTAAATAATATCCTGCCAAGCTATAATTTCCCCTTCACGTGGTTGTGTTAAGAATGTTCATATAGTCCTGATTCTCAGTTTTATCTCTCAGCTGCTCTCCTACTAGAGCCCTTGCTCCTCCAGAAGATCCCACAGAAGCAGCTGATGTCACATCCCTGAGCGTAGACAGGTTGGCACTGCTGGAGCGAATACACCTAGCCAGAGTCGTCATTGAAAGCTTGAAAATCCCTCCTGAGAGCATCCAGATCACACCAAGAAAGAAAAGTTTAATGGGGAAGCCTCCAAGACTTGCGTCAGCTAACAAGTGGTAAGAGGGATTTTTTTCTTGCCAGCTTGTTACTTGTGCCCTTATGGTAGATTCTGCTGAGATCAGTTTTGTAGTCCAGTTTACCTCAGCTCTCCAGGCTTCTGAGGTCTTACTATTTCTTTTCTCCTCTCAGGAAATTATAAACCATAGACTTCTGAAAGTTAGACAGGTGAATAATTTATCCTGAGGTAGGATCACTTCAGGCCATGTTTTTTCTGGGATTTTGGGGAGGTACCAGTGTGCTTTATGACAGTACATTGAAAACAAACGTTTGGGTTTTTTTTGGAGAATCTGACATATACGTAATCTATTGAAGGAATTCAGAAAACAGTTCAATTATTCAAAAAAAATAGAGTAACAATAACTTGTCAATATGAAACTTGCGTGCTAAGTTCAATTACATTATGTACATTAGATATTTGATGGTTTGTGATCATCCATTCACTTTTTTATTCCCAGTACCTTCTTTGTTGAGTACCACTTCCCTGTGGGAGCCTCCAAGGATGCAAAAGGGCAGATCTCTATAACAACAGAAGTAATTCGTATAGCTTCAAGTAAAATCACAGATGATGGTAAGAGCATTATTCTTCCCTCTGGTATTTAGTTCTGTTGATTCCTTCATCTCTTAGAAATTATTTAGTGGCTTTTTCTATGTATTTTCATTGCTGACTGAAAAATACAGTATGATTAGTGGCACCTCTACTAACAGAGTTTCTGTGCTACAGGTAGTGGATTGCTTCTCTCAGGGTGAAGGAAGACAAGAGATTTTTTTTAATTATTTTTTTGCTTCTAAAAGGTATTCATATTGGGGTTTTCAAATTTATTTTCCTAGGGACATAATAGTGGGGCAGTAAGCCCATTCCTTCCTTTCAATATAAAGCCAATATCCTTTCTGCAGTAGTATGAGGTTGATAAAGTACTTTTAGAAAGATCAGCGATACTTATATCTCAAAGAAGTACTTTTTCCAGATGCTGATGTCATGTAACATCTGCAAGAGCTCAGAGTCTGCTGGATCTGAGAGATCTTGTGCTCAAAACAGTAGATATTACTCTCTTCACTGAGAGTCACAGTGTTTGTATACCTGAGAACAATTTATGTTGTGTTTCTCTCCTCAGTGAGCAGAGAATGCTGTATGAGCAAGATCCTCTCTGCCCAGTCTTCCCAGAAACTGGAATTTCAAATGCCTCTCCCATTGCCTTTGCATCTTTCTGGGTGGCACTTGAGAGGTCTTGGGGTAATTCTGAGTTCTCTTGTATATTCTCCATTTGTGTCCAGACAAAACATCTAATTCTTCTGAACCTTAGCTCTTTGTAATATAAAAATAATACAGGCTCCTGCACTTCGTCTTGTGTAGTTAGATTCCGGCTCTTTGGAACCTGGAAAAATAGATAGGACTGAAAATAATTTGAAGAAGCCGTCAAGTCAGTCCACTGTACCGAAATCTTTCCTGAGAGCTGTTTGTCTCACTTATTAAAGATTCCCAATGGGAAGAATTCCACAGCCGTCCCAGGCAAGCTGTAGAGGTGCTGAGCTTCCTTAGAAAAGTTTCCTTATGTCTAACCTCAGTTTTTGTCATCTCAAGAATACTTTTATCCATTGTGAACAAGGAAAGCATGCTACTTCAACACTATTATTGTACTTCTTGTTATTGTACTTCTTGTTCTTCTCTTTTCTAGACTAAACACCAATTCCTTCAGTCTTTTCTTGCAGATATTACTTTTCTCCTGAACCTGCGATTATTCTTGCAGCTCAGCTTTGACTCTCAAGATAATGTCTTGAAATATATTGCTGAAAATGAGACAGGGTTCTCCCACTGAAGAAGGGAAAGTCTTACTGTGTGCTAGGATGACAGAGGCCTGGTATAAGTAATGCAAAATTAAATGATGGTGTGTGTAACAGAGCAATCTCCACGGGGAAGTTTGTTTATATTCACTTAATTTTGAATATTTGTTGCTCCTGTGAGCAACAACAAGATAAAAGTAGTATTTACCTACAGAGTTATAACATCATTTAATAGGTTGAAACCGTGAGAGATTCTTGTTGAGGGTTCCAGTGACAGCCCTTCCTCCTTCAGCTCCCAGCCGTGCTTGATCTCTGGATCTGGCAGATGTGCAGATGCTCTCTGTGTGTGTTTGTCCATCCTTCTCAGAAGTGCCATCACTTTCCCTGCATACCTTCTGATTTTTATGTGTCCCTGCTCACCCTGCATGTTCTCTGCAGAGGCTGAGGATTTCTCTGTTCCTGATCAAGCTCAAAAGACAGGTTAGCTCTGAATCCAGTTAAGAGCTCACAAGTCTCTGTCTTCCTTGCAGTGGTGAGATTTCAGCAGCGGTCTGTGTTCCCTGTCCGTTTTGGTGCAACAATGATAAAGCACTGGCAAAGCTCTGACCTCGCCTTTAAAATCTACATGAGAAAAAGCACACAGAAAAAGGTATTTATTAAAAGTCATTTATACTTGGTGTGTTGAAAAGCAAAGATATTCTTTGCATTTCTGTTTCCTCCAAATACTTACGCAGACAGCAGGGGCTTTTTTAAGTCTTCTGCAATGCTTCCTTGCAATTGCTGCCATCTCAACCATTGGAGGCAAAACAAAGTAACGTGGCTTCACTGAGCCACTTCTTGATCAACCATTGCCAGATATTATGAAGGAAAATGACATTATGTGCAGATACTCTAAGTTGAACTAATTGCTGTTGAATCTTATCACCCAGCTGAAAGATTTTCTGAGTTTGAGACTGACTCAAAAAAAAAATCGTCCTTCCCTTATCTTAAAAACTGATCTCTTGCTGTTTAAGCATATTAGATCAATTACAAGCATTAGTCTTCAGTAAGAACACAGCTCATTTATCCATACAGAATGAGTTAACATGGATGCAGTCGATATCATTACTCTGCCCAGGACAAGGGGAATAATGTGAGGTGTGAGAAAGTGGTGTAACTTGTGTATTTGGGGAGGGGAAAAAAAAAAAGTATCTTTCTTTTTGCTGAAAATATTTGCATAATCATCTGCATGTGATGAAGACAGTGAGAGGTGTTAGCCCAGCTTATGTTTTGTTTTAATCAACACCAAGGATATCTGCCCATCTGTTCTAACAGGAGGGTTTTTTTTTAATGGGTAGATAAATAGCATCTTTAACTATGGAAATTTTGCTCAGTTGGTAAGATTTGGGATGTTCATTTTTGCATTGATCTGGAACTGTTTACAGTGGATACTGGGAGGGTTTTCCATACTGTTGTCCTCGTGAGACTTGAAATTGGACCTAAGAGAAACTTTCCTACAAATCCTGTTGGTACAACTAATTATATAGGAGTGGGGAGGGTGAGTGGCTGACCAGGGCTTCCCAGAAGGCTTTTGTTTCATATTATGCCCTTAGTTCTTGAAACCTGACAGAAATCTCACAAAATGGATTTTTTTTTCTGCCCTCAGCCAGTGGCTGTTGGCTCAGCAGCACTGCAGTTATTCAAGGTTATTCAGTCCGAGTTGCTCACTGTCTGCTGTGAAATACCTGTGGAAAAAGAGGGAGGTCAGACACAAGTTGGACCGCTAAAGGTATGTGTTTCGCCTTACACAGTTTGAGTTAACCTGTTGTTATTAATTTTGGCTGGATGTTCTGGGTTTTTTTTGGGGGGTGGGGGGTGTCCCACACCCCGCCTCTTTCTTTTCTTTCTTTGTTTTAATTGGTGGGTCTTGGATGTGAAGGTTTGTAAGACCAATACAAGATAACACAAAGCTTTAGAGTTTTGAAGAAATATTTTGAACCTCCTGCCTGTCTAAGGATGTTGCTGTGTGAAGTTTCCCTGGCTGCAGGGTAAAATGAGGGGTAGGGCTTGGGTACACAAACCACTCTACAGACAGATTTTTGAGTAGCACGTGTTCAGGGCTGGGAGCTTTGCCGTCTGCTCCACATGTGACATGAGCTGAGGCCTCTCCTGCCACAGATGCTCCCTGTTACTGGTACCACCCTGTCACTTCAGGAGTTACCTTCTCTCAGCCAGAGTTTCTACCACCATGCTCAACTTCTGATTGAGAAGGATTAACAGTCCTGCACAGCACATTTGAGAAGTTTAACAGTTCTGAGGATAAACAGATTAACAAGTGAAGGTTTAAGAGAGTATTTGGGAATTTTACATTCAGAGCTCTGAAATTATTCCCAGATTGAGAATGTGAGCACAGACTGCTGCTTTGTACCTGACAGGATGAGTGATGTTCCCTGTCACAGGGGCTGTGAAACTTCCTCCAGAGAAGCCATTCAGCAGAGCTGCCAGCAGAGGAGTGGCAGAAGGGTGAAACACAAAATGTAGAGGTTAGGTGTGGCAGGAGTTAAGTCAGAGAGGAGAAATAGTGCAGGAGAGAATGGAGTGGAACAAGGTGTGAGAGGAGAAAAGTGGAAGGAGGTGTTTTGGGAGATTAGCATACCGAGGTTCAATGCCAGAACTTATGGAAGGGGAAGCTGATACTAAAGAAAACTGATTTTGGTTGCCCTCTCTTGGGTTTCACTTGCTCAATGTAATACATGCCTGTCAGCAATACCTGTGTGTCCAGCAGTACTGGCCAGGGTGTGGAGGATGAGGGATGGCAGCTATTGAATCCACTTCCCATTTCTTGGGTTCTTTCTGACCGATGGCCTTGAACTCCTCATCTTTGGACATGTTCTTTATACCCTATAGGAATACATACTGCTTGGGATTTTTTGCCTCAATATCTTGTCTTATCCCTCCTAAGTCATAGGCAAAACTCTTCAAACTGATTATTTTGTTTTCCTTCTTTGGTCATCTTATGGCTCCAATCCTTTTCTTTATCCTGTTACCTTATCTTCTAGACTTCAGTTTATTCCTCCCCTTCTTGCTGTCTTGTCATGTGAGTGAATCCAGCAGACTGTAGCAATTAACACTTGCAATTCCTTTAATCCTTGTTCTGATGTTTCTTCAGTCACTGTCAGGCACACACTTTGATTCACATCGATCGATTTCTCTTGCAAATCTTGACAGGTGAAAGAGGCAGTTCAAACACAGGGCAGTGTTAAAAAAACAAAACAAAAGCCAAAAAACCCAACCTCAGACAAAAAGAAGACAGATGTGGTGGAATATGTAGACCACTGGAGAGAAAAAGGACCCCACAGAAGTGAGAGGAGTTGGGACAGCTAAAATCAGCAGGGAATGTAAAAGTGAAAGAGAACATTTAGAGAGAAACACTTATTTTAATTTTTCTCAAGCAGCAGGTGCTGTAGCGAAGTGGAGCAAGTGACAGTGGTGATACTTTCATGGAATCCCAGAATCATCTAGGTTGGAAAAGCCCTAGGTTGGAAAGACTCCTCCAGCCCAACCCTGACCCTCCCCCGATCGTTCCCAACTCCCCCAGATCCCTCAGCGCTGGCTCAGCCCGACTCTTCAACCCCTCCAGGGATCCCGGGGACTCCCCCCTGCCCTGGGCAGCCCATTCCAATGCCCAACAGCCCCTTCTGCACAGAAATACTTCCTAATACTAGTCTAAACAGTCTTTGTCACAGTACTTTTCACCTCAGCTGGGTAGTTGTTAATTTTTCAGTCAGCTTTGTGACTGGTTTTAATTATCAGCTGTAACTTTATGTTTTTACACTTGACTTACTGCTTTAGCTGATAAAACTGCATGTAGTTTACTTCGCAGTGACTTTTGTAGTCTGTAACCAGAACGTAAAGGTAAGCCTTCGGGGTGATGATCTCACACAGTTCTTGAACAACACATGCAATGCGTTTTCCTCAGTTTTATGTTGCAGTCTCTTGTCTTTGCACGGGGCACGGCTTCTGATCAGCCCGCTTTGCCTTGCACCATGCAGGTATCCTTAGAGCTCGCAGCCGACAACAAAGACTTCACCCCCACCGCTGCCAGGTCAGCTGTGGCTGCACAGCGAGTCCCAGCTCATGCTGTAAGAAGTCCCCGGCTGGAATTCCAGGAACCCAGCAAGAAGAGTTTAAATGCAGAAAACCCTTCCTGCTCAAAATTGAGCGGTGAGGACTCGTGGACGACAGGCACAGCCCTCAGAAACGTTACGCAGCCACCACAGGCTGCACCAACCACCATAGCCTGTAATCTGATGACACAAATAACTGCATCTAAAGAGGATGGGTTGTTACTGCACGTGCTGTTGATGGTGCCTGATGGAAAGGATTTTGTTGCTGAAGACTATGGATTGCACAGTTCTTGTAATGTGTATTTAAACTGCAAGCTGCTCAGCACTGAGGAGGCAACAAGATCAGCTGTCGTATGGGGCACAACACAACCTGCTTTTAATTTTTCTCAGGCAAGTCACAAATCTTCTGCTTACTGAAATGTGCTATTCCACACTGACAAGCATATTTCAACGATAAGTTACTTTTATATATGTAGGAACTTCTCTGCTTGGCTCTGTCCAGTATATTAAATGTATTTTCAATGTTGTTTTGGCTGCATTACACAGTTGGAAACGCAGTTGCTTGAGTTGTCTAAATAATAAATGAGATTTTTGAAAGAGAAATAGTTAGAAAAGTTTAGGTTAAACCTTAAAGTTTACTTCTCCTCCTGTTTTGTCAAGAAAACACATTGTTGATGGCATCTTCATGGCATCCTATTATGTAGATGTAGAATTTTTTTGTTTGTTCCATTCCTCAGCATTCTTTTTTTTCTCAATGAGTACAGAAGAGTGGTTTACTGTCCAAATATGGGCCAGAGCAAACCCCCATCAAACAGCAGAATTTCAGGCATTTGATAATGTTGCGATTTTTGTAGGTTTTTTTAATTGATATTTTTCTTTGGAAATGTCAGGGTGTTCCAATGCATTTGTTAAAAATACCTAGTTATTTGTGAGACTCCTTAGTTTTCAGCTGAAAGGGTGAAATGTAAAAACATAGCAGAAGACATCTGAAACGGTTGTTTGAAATTATTTATCTGTTGTTTAGTAAACAGATGTTTAAAGTTTAAAGCAATGTTTTTTAAGATAGAATATTATCTTATGTTAAAATTTATCTAAATTGCATTTACTTTGCTGGCTAGTGATTTTCCAAGCTTATCAGTTTTCTGAAACTTGTTAGGCAAGTATGCATTTAATTTTTAATTTCCATATCTAAAGAGCACAGTTCTTTAGACTGGAATAATGTAGCATTACCAGAATGCTCTGTACTTAGCAAATAGCTTCCCATGTGTTCTGTGTACTAATTCCACATTAAACTCTTTCAGGTGATGCCTTTTTCATTGACCTCCAAACACTTGGAGCGACTAAAGAACAACGTTATGATCATCGAAGCGTGGAACAAGATGGGAAGCCCTGGCTGTGACAGACTGCTAGGATTAGTGAAACTTCCTCTGCATCAGTTTTACATCTCATTCAAGTAAACAACCTTTGTTCCCTGTTTTATTGGGTTGGGAAATATCCTACCTGGTGCTCAGAGAAAGAAGTCATGGGTGGTGTCTAGGGTTTGTGTGGGGGGGTTCTTAATTATTCTTGATAGCAAAAGGCATTTTTGTCCTGCCAGGCTTCCTCTGGCACTTTCCTACCCTGAGCACTAAATGGGTAAGTTACACTCTCCTCGTACAGAAATACAAGTAGCCTGTAAGAAATAAAGACGCTGTGCTGTGTCAGGCTTGGAGCCAGGTTAACTTGTGGTCCTGTGAAAGAGTAAAACTGTAAGAGATCACCGTGACTGCACAAGAAAATTAAGTGTGGCTTTTCGTTGGTGATTTTCTAAGGTTAGGACTGACTGGGTGATTTTCTTCCTGATCATGCTCTGCGTAGATCCCATTGATAGGGATGCTGTCGGTTTGACTGCACAGGATAATGCTTGTGGTATCAAAAAGGTCTCTAAATGCTTCACATTTTAATTGTCTTAGCCAACGGGTCTCTCTAGAGCTCGTTGTTCTTTTCAGTTCAATGTTTTTGCTTCTTGTTCAATAAAACACCTCCTTAAAGCAATGTAAATTGATGGAAGTACCGGACAGAAGAGATTCTTTCTAACACAGAGAATTAATTCCTTTTATTTTGCTCAGGCTAGTGATAGGTGGAAATCAGATGGTGCTGGAACTGACTTGCCACTACTTTGTCATTTGTATAATTTTTTCAGTAATCCACTGTAGCTTACTTGTAGATATTCTCTTTTTCACATTTCTCTGGGAAACTGTCCTTGTTCCTTCTTTTCCTCCTGCCCAAGTCCATCCCCAGAGGCACATAACTGCCTCATAAAACTATAATGTGGCCGCAGTATATATATTAATATATTAATAGAGTCTTGTTCCAGTTCATCACCTCGCTTACAGATTTCTAGGCTGGCGTATAGCTCAGGCCATGTTAGTTTTTGGAGAGCTGTGCTTTCTCATTGCTGAAAATAGCTCCGAGATCTGCGCTTTGTGAAGACTAATGTAATTGAGATGGATTTTGGAGGAATGGAGATAGATTGATTTCTAACTGCATTGAAAGTCCCATCTGAAATGAGCTTTGTGTGATCGTGTTCATATTCAGATGGCTTCATTCTCTTGCTGGGACTTTTTTTGGTGTTTTAATCTGTTCTAGAGATCCAAAGATTTCCCACCTGCTTCTTCAAGCTCAGTATCCAGTGGTTGCTGTGGACTGCTATATGCCTGTGATAGACGTTTTTACCGGCAGTAGAAGTGGAAGCCTGAGGGTCATCCTGGCAATGGGGTCAGCAGATCAAATAGTGGCCCTGCAAAGGCTAAAAAATGAAGAAGGAATGGTACCTCCCATCACACAGCGTCCTTCTCACGCTCTGGACCCTCCTCCTACAAAGCTCACACCGGTATTGTTCAATAAATTCCCATTCTTGCTGTTAAGGACACATGAAAAGGATTTTACCCCAGTGGCTTCATTAACAGGCTAGTGATCCCCAATCTCTTGATGCTGTAGCCAATTTTTATATAAATGATCACGTCCTTTGTAGAATTATATTTTGTACTTTTTTTTTTTTTAGCCACTTTCCTTCACCAGTCTTGAAATTATTGCCATTTTTACTGCCCTGCATATCCACTCCTTCAATCTACATGACAAGTGCAGTAAAAAAAAAAAATCTGTAAAATCTTAACTCTCACAGCCTTATTCTGTACCATACAGGTTTTGCCACTACCTTTGAGTTGGATATGGAGGAACTTTCATGCTTTTTATGTGCTGTGGTTTTTGGCTTTTGCAGAAAAAGAACTTTGCTGTCAGGCTTTTGATGTTTTTGTGAACTTCAGGGAGAAAATAGCAGATAGGGATTCTGAGCCCCCCATCTCAGGCTTATTCGTAAAATCTCATGTTCCCATGATGTTTGCTATTTCCTCAAGAGTTGTCCTTCTGATGTGGATTTCCTTTGTTTTATTAGCACTTAGACCAAGAAGGGGAAGACCTGATGGAGCATGTGTTTGAGATCCATGTGGAGAGTGTGAAAGGACTCACTCCCTTACAGTCCACTGTCTGGGGAGAAGCTGACTGCTATGTACAGTACTATTTCCCTGTTCAAGAGGCTGGTTGTGGTGCACTGCAAGGAACTGAATTGCATGAGGATGGTAGGTTTCCTCTGATATATAAAATCATAGAATCACAGGCTGGTTCAGGTTGGAAGGGACCTTAAAAGATCATCCAGTGCCACCCCTCTGCCCTGGGCAGGGCCACCTTCCACTAGCCCAGGTTGCCCAAAGCCCCGTCCAACCTGGCCTTGAACCCTTCCAGGGATGGAATCCGTATTTAGAGCATTGCTTTAGTTAAATATTGTTCAGTAATGTTCTCTCTGCTTAAGTAAGAGGGTTTGTATTTGAGCTTCCATAATGCAGCCAGTGCTTGCTTTCCTCAGAAGGTCTGTGTACAACTGTACTTGGGCTGTGTCAGTAAATGAAAAGCCTGCTTTGACTGAGGCAGATGGCAAAATTCTGAGGAAAAAAAAACCCGACAAAACATTGCTAGTTCTGAGTCTCTTCACACAGTACCTTTTTTGTAAAGATTCTAGAGGAGTTCACCAACTGATCCTGCAAAAATGTGCAAGAACAGATTTGCAGGGAATACTGAGATTGTATACAGTTAAATTCAACAAAGGCTTTACATACACAAGCCTTGCAAGGTGCTCATTTTCATGGATACACCAAGAGAAGACTTGCCTGGTTTAGGTCATTGGGATTATAAAGGAATATTTAAATAATTGCAGTTGTAGAAAAGGAATTAGTGTTGACTTTGAGTGCTCTGAATCAATGAGATTGATTTCCTCTGAAAAATGAGGGTCAGTACCACTGTTCCATAGCAACTCCTGTGGACTATGTCACCTTCCCGCCACATTTAACAGTAGTTTTTAGCCTGTGGCTCACACTTGGTACTACTGCGTGAACTGCTTGTAAAAGATCTGTGAAGTAAAACTCAGAAGAGCCAGCCTTCTGGCAGGAGGGTTTAACTTGTCCCTGGGTCCTGCCTCCTGAAGGACTGCAAATAGGAAAAGATTGAAACCCACAAATGCAACCATTTTTAACCAACTCTGCTTGACTTGTAGGCATCAAATTAAAGTCATTTTGCACAGCGACCACTTTGTGCGTCCCTGATCCCGTCTTTAATGATGAGCATCATCATTCTTTGTTGGTTCCTGCTGCTGTCCCAGTCCAGAGGCTTCTGGTCAGCGCATTTATGACATCAGGAGTAGCTGGAGGAGGAATCCAGTTTGAGGTCTGGTGCAGGTACAGAGAAATATCTTATTCTCGTCGATGTCACTGCAATACAGATAGATTCATATCTGGTATTGAGAAATCTCTAGCTATGGGATGGATATTTAATAGTAAGTGAAAAACTGGTGAGCTCATCAACATTTGGTGCTGAATATCTGCATTTAAAGTTTCATTTAAGACATGTAAGCCTTTTTTTTTTTCCCCCCAAGAGTGCTAATTACTCTTTTCTTCTTACAACTTCTTTAGAAAGTGTATGCTCTTAGTTTGCTTACTTCCAATTTGTTACTAGCATCATGATCTAAAAGTAGTGTTTAAACGCTTGCCACATCTAAATTTTACTTAATATCACCCTGGTGGTATAATTTAATTGTTTTGTTAGGGTTTTTTTTTTCCCCTAATACAAGTCACCAATTACAAAAGAAATACTATAAAATGTTTGTAAATTCAAATTATAGTTTCTTTGGCAGCTGAAGCTAATTACTAGTAGTAGAAAGCAGAGACCATGAAGACAGATAGCTTTAGAAAAGCATAATTATAATAATCTGTTCATTCTGTAGTAAACAATATATTTACAATTTGCAGGTTCACATGGGAATTATTACATGCTGGATGAGTTTACAGTAATGTTGGTAATGACGAGAGCAGTTTAAGTGACAAATAGTTAGTACCTGGAGTTTCAAAAACGTGCTTTAGCTCAGTTTCCTGAGGACAGTTAGACTTTGGTTTAAGACTTTGCCCTAACCACTCACTGATAGTGGCTGGTGAATTTAGGCTGTTTTGTGTGAAAGGAGCAAATGACTGAGCTGGAAGCTTTCTAAGAATTCTGCAAACATCCTTTTACCAGTTTGCAATATTTAAAATGGAAAGAACTTACCAACAGATCTTTGTAATTAGGAAGGAGATTAGATACTGACTGCCAGAGTCCAAAGGAGAGAGTTCTTGCTGTGAAGTTGTCAGCATCTTGAATGACTCCTAGAAGTGTATGGGGGGAAAAAAAAAAAGAAGTGTACAGGTGTAATATTCCAAGACGTTGTGACTACTATTCAGGCAGTGCTGTACCCAAGGCTAGAACAGTCGATTAATGTTCAGAGTTGTCCCAAAAGGAAAAGGAAAACAGAAGTTTGTAGCACTACCACGTTACTCAGTTACTGCTGCTGAAAATCCAGTGGGGGCCTTTCTCCTGATCTACCTGTTGTTCATGAGATACAGGTGCCAAAACTCGCTTTAGGATAAGTCTGAAGCCAAGTAGCATGGTAAGAAACAGTCTAGAGTTGTTTTTTTACACTCACAAACTGGTACCACAAATCTATTCTGCAAGTAGCATTTTTATTTATTAATGGAAAAAGAGGGCAGAGAATATTTGGTGCCAGATCCTCCTCTTGTTTTCCTTTGGGAAGCCAATTTTTAGTAGAGTTTCTGCCAGTTGACTTGCTAAGACTAGTGTGAAAGTGTATTTGTAGCATTATCTACTTGAGCACTTAACTGTTGTGGGTTGTTTTTTTTTCCTGTGGAAATTTTATCCTTTAGCTGTCAGACTAACTAGTGTTTGAAGACACAAAAATTAAGAGTTGACTTATGCAATTGTGAGAAAAGTAAAGATCCTTTTTCATCATCAAAACAGCACGTTTGATGCTGCTTCTTCGTGTCTTACCAGGTACTATTATCCAAATGTCAGAGACCAGATGGTTGCCAAAGGGACCTTGCCTTTGTCACGGCTCTGTGCCTTGGTGACTATGCAGCATCGTGAAGAAATAGGGATACAGACTTTTAATCTTCCATTGGTCCCCCGGACTGATTCCTCAGAGGAATTTAATTTGAGGCCTTCAGGTAAGGAAGGCTCGTGGGTTTTCACTTTCAAAGTGAAGGTCTGTGTATTTGCAGCCAAGGGAAAGAAAAATACATATTTGTCTTGGCAACTGATACCAGCCATGAGTGTTTTTCCTCCCAGCTTTTACTATCACCATACCTAGTGAAAATTCAGTGATTTAAACACGAGCAGCCCTCAAACTCCTAATGAGTTTAAAAAAGCCCTCCCTGTGTGTTGAACTGCTGAGCTGCCAAATAAGCCCCAGTCTGTAGTTAAGCTTCCCGTGTAACGTAGAAAATGGGGAATCTGCAGAAGGGCTGTTTATGTGTACGTGGTACGGGCAGAAACATCTTTCTGTTCTGCTGTGGTTCTTTCAAATAATACAAACCTCAGCTCTGAGAAAACCTGAGGCAGCTTCTTGGAAAAAACGGCCATAAAAAAAGCTGGGGCTGAAGAGGGAGTTCAGTATGCTTTGATGATCTTGTAATAGGTTAGCCACGTGCAGCAGCAGAAAATCTGTCTCTTTGAAGGTTTTGTCACTGCAGTGCTATAAAAAAAGATGCGTTGAAACACCGCAGTATGATATTTTAAAACTACTACAATGAATGCACACATGAGGGCGCGGCTGGGTTAAACAGCCTCTCCTAGTTTTACTACGCGGTGAATTTGCCAATGAGAAGGAGCCATTCACACCGTCTGATCTGACTGCCGGGAGGTCCGGCTGCAGGATGCAGTCCTTAAAATTTCCTTCTGTGCCTCCTCTATCAGGCCATAACTTTTGGCTGAAGTACAGCAGCTTCCACAGCCACTCTCTATGGGTTTCATGTGGAATTATTTTTTTGCATTAATAGAGTAAGTTTTGTATTAAGAGGTATAACTGAGTATTGATTATATTGGATCCAATTGTATAAAAAGTTGACCATTTCTTTCTTTTCTTTCTTTCATTTAATCTAGGCTTGCTTGATGTGAGTGTGAGATACCAACGATCTGTGAAAACAGCAGCAGGAAAAACTGCTCAAGCTGTTTCTCTTTCTGTACAAATACACAGAGCAGCTGGTTTGCAAGCAGCAGCTAGGTAAAGACTAATGCAAAAAGGAAGATTTTTCTCTTAAAATAGCTTTATCTGGAGGCAGCAGGCTGAGACAGTAGATGAGAACAAATGGTAACTGGCTAAGTTTCCATTTGCAGAGACCAAGATTCAAACTGGGTTCTGATCAGAAGTGAAAATAACTTTATAAAGAGCATCAGTGGTTATTTTTGTCCCTTAGGCTGCAGCACAGTGTGGTAGCATTCGTTCTACAGAAGGATTGAGATTGTAAGGGCACATCTTTCTACGCTTCCACATTTTTCTACGCCAAAGGCTGATAGAAAATTTGGCCGATATAAAATGGGACCTATTTGAGCACTGGATCTTGGTGTTACTGATGCTATTTAAAAGCTGGCTGTGATTGTTTTCTTGAATTTCACTGTGGAAACATCGATAAACTAACTAGTAAATGAAACCTGTTCCTTTTCACCAGAAGGCTGCTGCTCTGAGTGAATGGTGTCACCTGAACTTAGTCCCAACATGTGATTTTCAAGAACTACTGAAGAAAGGGCTAGAAGAGAGGGAGTCAATTCTGTAAGAGTTATTCTAGAGCAGTGCTCACTGAGCCTCTCCTCGGTGTTGTTGAGCTCTGGATCCATCTTAATTCAAGTAGACTCTGTAAGATGAGGGTCACTGCCATATGGCACTTGGAGAAGTTAAGAAAGTGGAATGACCTCAGTCTCTTCATCCTTCAGATGTATGACCTGACTAATACCTGGGTCTGTTTTACTTGTAAATAATTCCATCTGCTCATTTCACCTCCTTTGGCTTGTCACTACTAGTCTATGTAAAAATAATTTGGCATGGCCTTTTGCTTCCTTCCAGAGCAGGTTCTCTGGGAAGTTATCCTGCAGCTTTTTCTACATTATGGGACAATTTTAAAGGTGCTGAGTACTTTCTCAACCCATTGGTCTCAGATCCTGACAATAATAAGAGCACAGCCACCAGTGGTGGACCTTGTGGTGGTTACTCTCATCATTGTGTATCTGTTCCTAGTATGTTCAGATGAAAAAAAAAAAGTGAAAAACAATATGCAGCCAGAATCCACATCTGTTTTGACTTAAACATTCACTGTTTTGTCCCATCTTTTCACCGTGAACTCGAAACCTTTGCTTTAATTGCGTTGGTTCCTAGATTCCTTGTACATTATATTAATTCTCTTCTTTTCTTTTAACATACTAAATGAAGAGCTGTGGCACAAAAGAACCCTTCGGTCCAGTACTACGCAGGTGTGGGAGTTAATGCTTATGTTTCCGTGCACCTCTCCTTCCTGCCTGAGGCAGAGAGACGCATCACGCGAGCTGTGGCTTGTACTTTCTGCCCTGAGTTTGAGCATCACGTAGAGTTTCCTTGTAACCTCATTATTCAGAAGAGTAGTGGAGAAGCCTCTTGTCTGGGGGAACTCTTGCAGTCTGCCAGTATCATCTTCTCTCTCTACCATCAGAACACTAAGTCAGGTAAGGAGGACGAGCGATTACAGTGAATCCGGGTGCAGAAGGATCCAGTTCCCTTAATTTTTAGTTTAGAAGAGAGACTATTCATAAAATAGTGGAATCATAGAACAGTTTGAGCTTTAAGGGACTTCCAAAGATCATCTAGTCCAGCCCCCCTGCAGTGAGCAGGACCCATCTTCCACTAGATTGGGAGGCTCAGAGCCCTGTCCAACCTGGCCTTGAACCCTTCCAGGGAATATTCTGTGCAGTTGCTAATAGATGTCATTACCTAAACTGTCTTCAGAGAAGGCTTTGGGAGGTATTGCTCCCCTTGTGCAAAGAGTTGAGGATTCTAAGACTTCAGGTGATCAAGATCACCTCTTAAATGAAAAGATAATGCAATTAACAGGAATAGTGCTTGATTCTTGGAGCACCCTGCCTTTGTGCCTGCCTTATTGCCTCTGCTTCATGAGAGGTAACAGAGGTCCAGAAAAATGATAGCTTAAAATGCTTCAGTGATTAAACTGTGGCAGATAGGCAGGATTTTTTCCAGCGTAACACATTGTAAAATTTATAAACAAAATTTAGTGAAAGGTGAGATTGTTTTTTACTCCTGGAGGAGGAGAGTCAGGAGTGGCATGTTAGGGGAACCGAGTAATAATATAGAGCACTAGCTCCTCACTGGTCACCTAATGCTCTTCTAAGGAAATAATCCCTAAAAGTTTTTCCAAATTCAGCGGTGGTAAAGCATGTATCCTGTCATGAATGTGCATGGACAATACCTATAGACAGGTTTTGTTCTCAGAGAATCATTGAATCTCAGAATGGTTTGGGTTGGAAAAGACATTAAAGATCGTCTAGTTCAGCCCCCCCTGCCCCAGGCAGGGCCACCTTCCACCAGCCCAGATTGCCCAAAGCCCCGTCCAACCTGGCCTTGAACCCTTCCAGGGAGGGGGCAGCCACAGCTTCTCTGGGCAGCCTGTGCCAGGGCCTCACCCCCCTCACAGGGAAGAATTTCTGCCTTAGATCTCATCTAGATCTCCCCTCTGTCAGTTTAAAGCCATTACCCCTTGACCTATGCCTGAACTCCCAGATAAAGAGTCCCTCCCCCTGTTCCTGCAGCCCCTTCCAGCCCTGGGGGGCCGCTCTAAGGTCTCCCCGGAGCCTTCTCTTCTCCAGCTGAACCCCCCAACTCTCTCAGCCTGTCCTCACAGGGGGGGCTTCAGCCCCCCCAGCATCTCCGTGGCTCCTCTGGCCCCGCTGGAGCAGGTCCGTGTCCTTCTGCTGTTGGTGCCCCCGAGCTGGACCCAGCCCTGCAGGGGGGTCTCCCAGAGCGGAGCAGAGGGGGAGAATCCCCCCCTGGCCCTGCTGCCCCCCCTGCTCTGGGTGCAGCTCGGGACATGGTTGGCTCTCTGGGCTGCGAGCACATGTTGCTGTACCATGTTGAGCTTCTCCTGTTTCTCACTGATATTGGCCTGATAAATCCTGGGCCATTTGTTTTGATTTTTATCCTTTTTTTCATGGGTTAAAAGTGGTTTCAGTGTAACAGCTGAGCTATTTGACGTTGAGGTGATATGGTGTTCTTTTAAAGGAGATGCTGTCTCAGTCGCTTCTAAATCATGTGTTCCAGTTTAGTGCGTTTACAAAATACTTACTTTCCAGCCCCTGAAACATTGGCAGCTCGGACTTCAAGAGATTATCTTCTTGGGACAGTCACAATTCCAACCAGAGACCTGCTGAGAAGAAGATCAGGTAATACAGCAGTGTTACACTGCTGATCTTCTGGGCGAATAGTGTGGTAATTCCTTAAAAGAATTTTGATTCCCATTTGGGGCTTTTTTTGTGGGTTTTTTATTTAGACCAAAGTTCGTTCAGACATTGCACATGCCTTCATTAAAAATCCTGTATTAGAAAATTCATATAGAGGTTATTGTTTGAAGATCTGTTTTCAGGATGTAGGATGTATAGTAGCTGAATGAATATTCTGAAGCTACTATGAAGAAATGTAACTCCATCCCAGCTAAAACCAGCACACCTCCTTAGTATTTTATTTTCTACCTTAAAGTGGAAAGTCCAGGAGTTGTAGTGTTCAGAGGAGGACCAGTGAGTGCTTTTCAATTGTCAAAGCTGGGAACAGAGGCTTAAATAAATTAGGAAGCAGATGGATTAACTTTTTTTTTTAAACTAAATGTGAACTACTTCCTCTATCTAGTGTTAGTTTGTGATAATTATGTCTTGTAATAATGTTTTCATTATTGCCTTGGTTATTCTGCTTTAATTTCAGTATAGTGGTAATTTTCTCCAACATGAAATTTTGCGTTTATTTTTAATGGGAAGAGAAGAGGAAAGAAATGAAAATGCCTGATTTTGTAATGGAACATTCATGGGATATAGTTTCGTTGTAAAATGAGTATTGTTAACGGAACGAAAAATAAAATGCCTTTGGGATTACAACTAACACTGAGGTTTTCTGAGGTCTAACAATTTGCCGCTTTTTGAGGTTAGAAATGATTTGACAAATTCCAAACTTTCACAAGAAATAAACACTTCAAATACTGGTCCTTGACTCAGGACCAGAGAGCAGAACATTCTCTACTCCTATTTTTCAGAAGGTAGGATAAGTCTAATTCTGATCTTTTCTCCCAAAGGCATCACAGGCTGGTACCCGGTTACCCTGCCTGAAGATTTAATGCCTTCACACTGCACAAACATCATGCAGGCCATTGTGGGAGGACTGGAACTTTCTGTTACCTTCGCTCATCAGGGTGACAGAGAGCATGTTTTGGAGGCTGCTAAGCTTTTAGGATGGAACAGTGAGGAGAGCCATGAAGACAGCATGGATGATAGTGACGAATGGGAGCAGAACACCAGTCCAGTGGCTGTGAGCATCTCAACCCCAAGGGTATGGCTGCCAGTCCACTGTGTGCTGCTTGCAGGCCAGACACACCTGAATAAAAACACTTACTGCTACCTCAGGTATAAGCTATATAATCAGGAAGCCACGTGGACTTTGCTTAGGAGGCCAAAATTGAGTGACGACACGAAGAACGTGACAGTGAGCTTTAAGAAACCAAACAAGGTGACTCTCGGAAGGAGCCAAGGACTGCTGTGGTTCTTCAGAGAGGAGAAATTAGAAATCCAGGTGTGGTGGGCATATGGTAAAGAAAATGATGGGGAAAGACCACTTCATACAGATCGTCTTATTGGATGTGCCTATGTCGACCTCGCAGCATTAGCAGAAAGATCGAGGACAACACTAAGTGTTAGTGGTAAGTTCTAAAAGAACTTTCATTCCTCTTTATTGATGTTTCAGTTTGGTTACTTCTCTAGTCACTTCAAACAAAATATTTCCAGCTTTATTTTGTCCTGAAACACACACTCAACATCTTTCACTGAAGATAAGGTTAAAATGCGCTTTTTTTCTCTGAATGCAAAACTTTGCAAGTTTAAATGGGTGAAAAATTGGCAGTAATGATCAGTAATAAGAACAGCAATTAGCCTACATGGATTGATGAAGAATGTTTCTTCAAAATTATGGATTGGACATCATGGTAGAGTGAGAAGCAGTAAGAATAATGTCTCTTAAGGAGGCTGAATGCCTGTAGTCAGAGCAAATGACTAAGCACTGAGCACCTCATGGAAACTTCTGCTCTTTTTGGTTTCTTAGACTTCTGTCACCTATGTGGCATCCTAGCAGCCACCAGCTTGCAGGTAGATTTTTGGACAGGTCTTTGGCTCTTCCTTTGCATACACTCAGGGAGGGAAGATGGAGCAAGAGTTAAAACAAATTTTTATGCTGTGTATATGTTCTATTCTCCATATATAGATATAAAATGAAAAGGCGTTGTTCTCAGGGTTCTCAAGAAGTTGATGTGCTTCAAAATTGTCAACTGAGCTGCCAGTGGGAAAATGAAGGGTTTTGGGGGATTGGTCACTGGTTTTAACCTTTACAGGCTGATACATCTACCAGCACGCTGGGTGACACTTTACATAGAAATGACACTGAAAATCAAAATTCATTCTACTGCTCTGATGTGAGATCTTTACAGTAAGGAACTGTGCCAGCTGTTTCCAAGATCCTAGTTTTTCTGTGGCTTGTTTAGCTGGTGGTGAATTCTCTTGCAGGAGTTTATCCACTGTTCAGGTGCAACGCTGCAAACCTAGCAGGAGCTGCTTTACGTGTTCATGTCGTCCTTTCTCCCACTTCTGCTGCTCTGCCCAGCAGACTTCACTGTGCTGAGGAATACAGCAACAGTGAAGATGAAGGCACAGAGAGAGCTCCTGATTTGAGCCAACAGGCTTCTGAAAATCAGAATCAGAAACTGGATATTGTAAGTTCAGAAATCAGTGGCAAGCCACAAGAAGACGACATGATATTTCTGGAAAACACAGTTGCTGTCAATATCCTTGTGGAAAGAGCAATGCATCTCAGTTTAAAAGGTAACACCACCCTCCCCTTTTTTTTTCTTTTTTCTCTTTTAATTTTTTTTCTGGGTTCTGTTCGTACTTCATGGAGCAATTTAAAAACAAATCCTCTAACTTACTCCGGCACAGTAAATGGCTATGATGGGTTTTGAACTTGGCTACGTAGCGTGGCAACCCCAAGAGCATTGCATCATTGGACAACTACAGGGGAAGCAGGAGGTTAACCTATCCAGCCTCTCTCTATTAATAAAATCCAAAATATAAATAAGATAATGTTCACTGTTACAGATGACAGCTGAATTCTGAAGTTAAGCATTATCTGAATAACTTAACCCCAAGACACTCATATCTCAAAGACTCTTGCAAATTAGCATTTTTAGCATATAATCAATTTGTAAAGCTGGCTTACTCGTGCTATCTGGAGACTGCCAGACGCAGCACTGAGGAAGGGCAATGAAAGGGCAGAGCAGGCTGAGCTCACCCAGGCTTGACACGCTGCTTCCCGCTCTGTAGAGTGGGAAATACAGTTCGGTGCCTACTCCCTGTGCTGAGGGTCACCAAAGAATTGCTCTTTGCTTTTAAATTGATGCTAAGCATATTAAAATATTCCTCCCTAGCAGGTGATGTTTGGTTCATGATGCGCAGCAATGTAATGCACTTGGTGGATTGGCAGGTTTTTGGAGCTTTTTTTTGTTTTTTCCCCTCAAGTCTCAGTCTGTAAGTGGATCTGTTAAGGATGAGTTAAACCCTTTAAAATACCTCAGGTGCTCTACCCTTCACCTCGAGCACCTCTAGCACTCGATCACTTTGCATTTACTCAGCACTTGGAGTGATCTGATCTTGTTTGGGCCATTTCATGCTACTCAGGTACAAACAGGAGTAAGGAACTGACCCAAGGTGAGTTTACTGGAAAACTTCTCTGTTCCGATCAACTGTTTCACAGTCCAGGTGATGTGCCAGAAGGGGGACGCTCAGCCTTCTATGGCATGGTAACACAAGTAAGAGTCAAATATAAGCCATGATTTAAATGTAAGTAATTCTGACACATACTGAGCCCCACAGATGGCTCTTTAATGATTCTGTAATCTGGAATTTGTAGTCTTTGGAAATCTGATGCAACATTGTTTGCTACTGCAAAGTTTTTGATGGGAGAAAGGAGTTTTCTTTTGATGGTGTCCACTATTGCAATATTTCTATATTCAAACAGCACCTCATTTTAGGGGATTTTTAGAAGTAACTAACCAAGAGGCAACTGATACACTGAAACAAATGCTATATAAACTGGTTTCAAGAAGAACTTTCATTCTTCATTATAAGAATTTCATTCTTGTGTTGCAGTTAAAAAGGCTCGAATACATTCCCAGTCTAATATGTTCTGGATGATAAACCTGAAATTTGGGAAGAATTACTTAGGATACACAATTTTCAGAAACTGAGTGAAGATACAAAATGCTTCCACAAACCTCTTCATATTTCTTGTGTTCAATTTTCCTGTTTTCTTTTTCTTCATCTTCCAAATAATATAAAGAAAAGGAGTAACTTAAATTTCGTAACATTGGAAAGGAGTGAAATTAATTCTATAAAAACACAGTTCTGCAAAATGCAGAAGTTCAAACCGAGAAGTCTTTTCTTTAACTTAGTTCTAGCTGTTTTGAGCACTGTTTCGAACACTAGCAAAGCAGAATTTTCCATGCATCTTTTAAGGACTGAAACCACTTTAATCTGCAGTTGCTAACTTCTTCCTGATACATTTTTCATCTTTTTCTGTTCGGTTCTTGTATCCCCAGGGAACAGATTTTCTTTGACCTGTGGCAGCCATTGTCACCTTACGCTGCCAGTCCTGACCACGTCACTCAGGAGGTGCCCTAGGCTTAAAGATTTTGTGTTTTACCACCCAATTCCTGAACCATCAGGTCACACACCTCAGTTCCTTCTCTCACCTCATCCTTCAAATGCTGCTTTCATAAAGCAGAGCGAAGCTAATATTTCTGAGTGTAACTTTGCAAGGTTCAGGCATTGGGAGCTGCTAGGCTACATCAGGCTCTGTAAAATTTCTTTGATTATGGCTGAGCTTTCTTATTAGAGCTAACAATTCTTTCTATTATAGACTTTTATTTTCCTAAAAGAAAAACAAGCTGACACTTGAGAAATGCTGGTTTTGCCTTTAACTACAAAGATTGATTTTAGATCTGCCTTTACATGCAGGAGATGGTGAGCTAGTCTGGACAGGTCTTGCTCATTTCTTTAAGCTGAGCTCACGTTGCCTACATCTGTGTTTGAACTGTCATATCTACAGTCTTGCCAAACTGCAAAGAGTTTTGTGTGGGTGTTTTAACTGAAGTCATTGTGGATATTTAAAAAATAATAATCCTGTTCTCAAGCAAATCCTCATGGTCAAGGCATAAATGAGCAATAACTCAGCTACTATTAATCAGTCACACTGGATCATATTTTCACAGATATCAGGAGAAAATAGAATTATTTTTAGTTAAATGGGATACATATTCCTCAGTTTTGATCATTCTGGCCAGAAAAGTCTTGGAAAAGTCCAAAACCCCATGCTGAGTCCTTGGAAAGCAGAAAGGAGGAACCAATCTGTAATAACCAAGTGATGGTTGCAAAGTCTGACCTTGTTTCCCCTTGGCTAAGTCCATTTCTCCTAGCACATTCTGCCAACAGCTCTGTAAGCTGTAAAATGCTACTACAGCTTTACAAGCCACGATATGCTGCAGCAAATTAATCTCACTAAAGTGAACATGACTAAAGAGTCCAAGCCTGGAGGAGGGTTCACATACAGAAGGGAAGAGGCCCTAAGCATCTCTCCTCCTTTTTGTGCTATAATTCAGTGGAAGTGATTGTATAAATTTTGCAGCTTTCATTCAACAATCTCTAATCCACAGTATCCAGCAGCATCTGAGGAACACCTAGCCCCATGTCTTAATTTGACCTTCTATTCCTCTGATGAGAAACTGTCCACCTCAGAGTGCAAACACACCCAATTAAGTCAGGCTAGTTAATTCATTAATTGTTTTCTCACAAACCTTTTCCCAGGTTATTTCAGAATGAATGAGGGAGAAAATGCTTATGGTTCCAGCCTTGAATTATGATTACATAAGGAGCCTTGTAAAGGTTTTCACTAGTGCACTGCAGAGTGAATGACATCCTCATTGCTTCGCTTGGTGATCACAAAGGTCTAGTTTGTGTATAGATTATTATATTTCCTGAAGCTACTTAAAAAACAATTTCTGCAAAGCTTACCTGCTGCCCCACGTAGAGCTCCCTGGACTAAGACATGAAGACAATTGATTTCTCCCTCTCTGATATAAATTTTAATGTTTTGACCAAAGTGTTGAGGCTTTATTTACACTAGACTTTGTTCTCTCAGATTGCCTGCTGGTGCAGTAGTAGGACTGGTGGGAGCACACGGGCACTTAATAGTGACCAGGATTTTGCTTTCCATGTGCTTTATCCCTGCTCAGAGCCTTGGGGAAATGGTGGGAACTGTGACACAAACTCCCACTTCTACAATGGGTATGAAGGGTGGTGGGAAAAGTTGGGAGGGAAATCAGCGAGAATTTGAAAGAAAATTGTATATATTGCTTTTTCCTCTTTATTTAAATCTTTGTAACAGAGAGTGGTGCTTGTTTCTACCTTGCAGGGATGTTAAGTTTCTCTTAACTATTTCAGCCTTTTTGAGATTAACTATAAGAGGCTATAAAGAAGTTTATTATCCTTGGCTATCGTTAACACCAGCTGTTCATTTTCTTATTTAGTCAGTGCAACTGAGCACTCAGCAATCTAGCTGTTAAGTCAAACTGCCTTTTGGAACACTGGATATTTTCTATGTTTGCCCTGAGGATTGCCAAACTCTCTGGTCCAGCGTGGAGGGTAGATCAAGCTCTGGAGACCGGGTTTTATTCCTAGCTTTGCCTCTGACTTCTCAGATGATCTTGTGCAAATGGTTTTTCCATGTCTCCCTTGAATATTCCAGTGTCTGCTCGGTAAAAGGTTAATGTAATATTTGCTCCCATTGTAAATATAAAGTATTTTCAGCTCCACCAATGAAAAGGAGTATTTCCTAGAAGGTAGATTTCTCTGCTAATTATCTGTTTTTAATTGCTGAACTGCCTTTAGATATATTTTTTAAAATTACTAATAACAAACCTGTATTTAATTCTGTATAATTTTAGGGAGTCCCTTGACAGAGCGTGAAGTAACGGCACCCAGTAGCTGTGTATCATTTGCTGTGGCTGGTGCAGATGCTCCAATAACCACTTCAGTAATAGAAAATACAGACTCACCCATCTGGGACTTCCAGCAACAAGCAAGGTAAGTGATGTGGACTCGTACAGACACGCTGGCAGTCAGGCTGGGTGTGAAGAGGACGTAGCCAGTTGGGAGGGGAGTGCTTTTCTACTTACCGAGCCAGTACTCTCAGCTAAAAATGCTTGGTTTATGTTTTACGATCACCATCTGCTCATACTCAGTGAAAAATTGTTTGCGGAGGCTTGGTCTTAAAGCTAATGTGAGAAAGGGGAGTTTGACCCGTGCTGAACCTTGGCTGCATTGTATTTTGGGTAAGATGTTGGGTGAGTCCGTCTGTTTCCACTCCTCTGTAGTTTCCCCGTCTAGAGAAAGGGGCTACTAATAGCTAAAGGACTCTTGGGAAGGTTAATTAAGACTTGATCCAATTTATTGGCTTTTTCTGTATGTTTCACTTCGTTTAATGGGTAGAAATCATGCCCTGGTTCAGGACCAGAGCTCTAAGTTGGGATTCACCTACTGAAATTTGATATATCTGGAAGTTAGTTTTCTGACTCAGAGCTGTTTAGCTGTGGCTTCCCCTACAGTCACTGGAGGGATGCAGCCACCTCCCGACAGTCACTTCACCAGTGTCAGAGACCCAACTTAGGACAGAATTCCCTAAGGATACCTGTTTCTCTCCAGTGACTGCCAAAATAGTGTAGGGAACAGAGCTCAGACTTAGATATCTGAGCCTAAATTAGAGCAGATGAATTGACCGCTCCAAGAAACCTCAGCAGATCGTCATACGTGGTAATATTCAGTAATAAACCTCTGTTTGCAGTCTTGTGCCCTCTCCAGTGTTTCTATACCAGATTTTAAATTAATTCCAAAGCAGTAGCCAAAGGCGTTTTCTAAATGAGATGGAACAAGTCTGTTAGAGGCAACAGGAAAGCAAACTGAATTTATTTTGACAATCACACATATATGCCAGTGCCTGCACAGGAGTGAGCTTTTCTGCCAGACTGCTGAGTTGGGGTTTTGGCTTTAGGGAATTTGTAATATGAAGATTAAACTGTTGAAAGACTCTGATAGCTGAAGTTTAAAAGTTTGTTTCAGAGATTGCTTATGCTCAGAGCCATATCTGAACTGCTTCAAGCAACTTAAAAGCTGTTCTACATTTGACACCTCAGTTTTCAGGGTTGGGGTTTTTTTCTAGAAATCAGCTTCAAACATTACAGCTTTCAGTCATCACCCCAGTGCTTTGTTGTCACTGTATTACTGAGTCATGAGATAAACTGTATTTTCCTTTCTTCAGGGTTTTGTTGTCCTGTCTTTTAAATTTTCAAGAGCGAGGAGATGGAAATAGTACTTGAATACACAAAGTCCCAAACCATGTGAAGATAGTTATGCTTTTGAGGCCTCAGTGATTTGGGGTTTTGTTGTGTTTCCCCCTGTCCCCATCATTCCAGAAGGAAACGTTTGTCTGGATAGATACAATGGCATCGAATCTTCAGACATTTTACTTCACTGACTCTTTTTTTCCTACTTTGCATAAGAAGTTATGATTCTCTTCTTACCAGATTATCCAAAGAACTTCTGCTGGATCCACAGCAAACCTTGGTCTTCAAAGTGTGGCATAAAGCAGGTAAAGTTTGTGGTGCAGTATTGAGAGGAGTGTCTTTTCTGCCTCCCTTTCCTTGGGTGGTGTGCATTTAACACAAGGAAAGTGAATTCTATTAAATAAATTGGAGAGTAGAATTGTAAAGACATTTTTTTTTTTTACCTTACACTAGAAGAATGCTGGAGATAAATACCCATTGATTTCCTGCCCCTTAGCATCCTGCTTTTCCCCATTAATCATCTGGCAAGGCTTGGTTAGTTTGTATTCTCTCCATTTTTAATTTGACAGTGGTTTAGGGGTTGGATTTTCCTAGCGAAGGAAATTTTTTACTGTCTTTCATATGCTGTTTGTTGTCTCTGCAGTTGGTTGAAGTGTGGCCAGCCAGTCGCAATCAAATACATTTATAGTGGCATGGATATATTTTAACTATATATATTATATTTATAATTGCTCCTGCATTCAGTCTCAGCATTTATTGGGGGAGTTGAAGGCCTTGAGTTTCAAACCGAACAATATAAAAAGTTTTTGCAGGTGTTTTTACTGCTGTTAATCGTTAAATGATAAAAGATGCTGCTAATAGTTAAAACTGTTGTTTGCTCATTTTATTGCTAGCCCAGATCCTCCAATATTTGGTACCAAGCAAGCACAAAAATCCGTGGGTTTGTTGTTGGGAAGGCAGCCCTACTTCTTCAGTTCAAACTGCTAGGATATGGTCTTTAAAATACTGAGTTTTTTCCTTTCTTTTTATATATCAAAGTTCAGCTATCTGATTTTTGCTTCAGAAATAAACTCCCTTTGTAACTCAGCCTTTCTCTGTATTATACAGAGTGCTGGGTGTACACAGTGATTCTCCTGCCAGTCCCTCTCCCTGCCCTGGTCTTTCATTGTCTCTGCAGGGACATTTTTAGCTGAATGTAACTGCTAAGTTAATCCAAATAATACCCTTTTCTTGGATAGGATTGTTCTGTACTTCAGGTAAATTTGCAAGACAGAAAAGACAAAATGTTGCACAAAACCGCAAGAGTGTAACGACATAATCAGCATTTTTCTGAAACCTTTGGCAAAGTGAAAAAGGAAGGAACAGGAGTTTCTGAAGGGAGAGTGCAATTCCAGAGGCAGAATGCATTTTAGAATCATGGAGGTCAGAAAAAGGCCTCGAAGCTCCTCCAGTCCAACCATGAACCTCACACTGACCGTTCCCAACTCCACCAGATCCCTCAGCATTATATCAACCCAAATTTGCTTAGGTCACCAGCTTGGCCTCCAGGTTCATTTTTTCAAGTCTCTGATTGTCTTTTATTTCTAGCCTATTTTCAAGCTGAATATTTTTCACTTTATCACAACCTTTGTTCAACTAGTTCTTCTGATTCAGTATTGCATAAGGCACGAAACCCTCGTGTCCTTTCTTACACCTGCAGCAAGGCCCTCATGCTGCTGTGAATTATTACCAGTGTAGGTGTTCAGGTTAGCAGCAGCTGCAACAGGGACAGCTGTTTTGGCAAATCCGTAGGGAGGAAGCTGGTTTAATTGCTTAGAACAATTTTTCCTGCTTCTCAGTCAGACACCATAGGTCTCTTACTTTGAAGCATGTTGACAACCAAAATCTAAGTCTCGTTTCTGTTGTCTCAAACTGTTTTCTGTTTCCTCTGCTTTTTTGCAACGCTCTTTACTTGCTCTTTACCTCATGAGAGCTGTCAGCTTTTAAACCATTTTTTTCAGTTTTATAAGATGTCTTTCCTATAAAGCCTAGACATATTTCAGGGCTAACTGGCTGATTTTTAGCATTCCTGACAATGTTTTGTTTACATGCAGTTTAAGTTAATATGTGCTTTATATTCTTCTTCCCCAGAGGCCGAACGAGTGATAGGATTTGCATCAGTGGACCTTTCTCCTCTTCTTTCTGGCTTCCAGCTCGTGTGCGGGTGGTACAATATTACAGACTTCAGCGGACAGTGCAGAGGGCAGATCAAAGTAGCAGTTTCCCTTCTTCAAAACATAAATAATCTCAAAGAAGAAAGGCAAGCAAGGATCCAGACCCAGCCACCAAGCTCTTCAGTACGTACTTGAGTTTCCTCCCTGGTGCATTATCTGATTAGATTCCTAATAATCAGCACTGACTCCAGGGGTTTCTGAAGTAATGAGTAAACATAGCAAATTCGGGGTACCGTAATGGATCAATCTTTGTAAATATACCAGAAACACTTAATTCCTTGTTTAAGAATTCTTCTGTAGGTTTCCATGGTAGCTGCAGGCAACAGTAGTTGCAGCACCCATTCAAACCTAGATCATTAACATAGTGGTGGCTTCACTGTGTTGTTGCTTCATGGGTGTTTGGGGTTTTTTTAATTATTATTAGGAGAATATTCTGTGGTTTAGGATGTCTGGGAGCCTGGCATTGTTCTGTTTGCTGCTTTGGGTGGCAGCTGATGCGTAAAAACATACTGTAAATTCAGCCTGTCGTTGGTTAGGGAATTTCTAATTTTGGCAGAAATCTATTTTTCTGGAAGATTTGCCATTTCTTGTGTGTGTTTTATTCTCTAGCCTTTCCAGTTACGCTGGGGTGTGACATGCACACGTAATGGAGCCCCTATACCCCACTTACCATCACTTTACTCTTCAGTAGCATGGGGGGAATTCACAAATATTTCTGAAGTAAGAGTGTTGTTAAATGGTACTTTGGATCAGTGCTGGAAAATCCTTTGGAAACTTAAAGCTATTTAGAAAACTTAAGTTTTTTGTTTGCCAGCTCAGCAAGATACTACTTTAATTTCTCTGTTTTCCTGCTGTGGAAGGTTCACGTGTGGTATTCCTCTTTATTCTAGGTGAAGGCCAGCTTTCCAACGTTTCCCAGTAATGCTGCAAGCTTTTCCAAGAAGACATTGAATACCTTGTCAAAGGAAGTCAGTGTTTCCACTCAAGACCAGTAAGTCTGCTGGCTGTCAACCATTTTGATTATTTTCAGGGCTCAGAAATCTACCTGAAGAGTCAGTGGAGTCAGTATAGAGTCGATATCAAAAATATCAGTATTTTTGATACTGAAAAAATATCAAACCTTGTCAAAGCTCTTTCCCTGTATTTGGGCTTAAGGTTTTTACCAAATTCCTTTTACCAGTGAGAGGCTGACCCAGGAGATCACAATCCTGAGACAGGTTCCTTTCTACAAAACCCAGGTGTTCTTTTTCTTCTCACTGATATTTCCCAATTTGTTTCATTTACACGTTTCTACGTTAGGATTTACACTATCCCATTGCTAGAACTGGCAGCTATTTCTTCCAGGCCTTTGCAAGAATAAGTTTTGGGGTTTTTTTTAATAAGTTAGAATATAGTATTACTGATATATCCCCTCTGTGGGCTGTGACACCTGTCCGTGACTGGTGAATGACAGTTGGTGAAATTCTGTAGTATTGCACATTAGGACAAGAGGGAATGGCCTCAAGCTGCCCAGGGCAGGGTCAGGCTGGCTCTGAGGAAGGATTTCTGTGCAGAAGGGGCTGTTGGGCGTTGGAATGGGCTGCCCAGGGCAGGGGGGAGTCCCAGGGATCCCTGGAGGGGTTGAAGAGTCGGGCTGAGCCAGCGCTGAGGGGTCTGGGGGAGTTGGGAACAGTCAGGGGGAGGCTCATGGTTGGGCTGGAGGAGGCTTTTCCAACCTCCATTATTCTGGGAGTCTGTGAATAAGGTAATTCAAATGCCTTTCTCCTTACTAGAAGCACTTCTCCTGACTAGATTCTGGATTTACATCAGGTATAAATTTTAGAAGAATAATACTTATTATCTGCAGGAATATAGGACTGAAAGAGACTTTGAATCATTCCATCATTTCCCCAGTTACCACAAGCAATATATCACAAAATCCTTAGATCTTAAGTGGATAGAAATCCTTAGGTTTTTATCAAGTTCCGTCATATAGTCAATTAATATTCTTGCTTTTATGACTTCTGTTGGAAGGTCATCTCAAATCCAACTGCTTTGATTAAATAAGTTTTAAACTAGCACTTTTTTTAACTTCCAGCCTGTTTCATAGCTAGTTTGGCGTTTGTTGAGCACTATCCTCTTGCTTAGACAGAGCCTCAACACTTACCTCCTGATCAAGTTTTTCAATACCAACCCTTAATTTTGTATTTGCATATTTACACGCTCTTGTCTGGAATGATACAGGTAGAACCAATCTGCCGTAGGCTTTTTTCCCTCTTACCTAATCTCTTACTACTGCTTACAGAAAAAACTTGAGGGAGCTGGATGAGGTTCAAAGATACTTCAGTCAGAAGCTGACCAGGTCTTTTCCTGACTTCAGTTACACATCCAAACCAAGTCATGAGGAGCAGGAGAGAGATCATCGGGGCCTGATGAACAGAGAAAAGGATTCTGATAGATGCCGACTTCTGGAAAAATCTAGTCAGTTGGTGTCTCAGGTCAGCAGCCTAATCAATGGTAAGTTGTTACTTGGTTTGGAATTTGTTGTCAGAAGCTGCCATAAAAGTATTTGCAAATTCTTTACATAATCGGGACCAGTTCCTGGTGTTGCTGATCAGCACGTGTACCATTGGGAGAATGCTTCAGAGAGACTTTCAAACTCCCGCCAGTAATGGTCACGTTGAACTGAAACATTCCAAAGGAAGGTGAGGTGGGATTTAAGGCCTTCTTCAGATAAATTCTACTTGAATTTCCATGTCTGTTCAGCAGAAAAAGGGAAGTCTTGTGGAAAAGCAATCCACAGGACGGTACTGAGCTGAGTCTGTGGTTCGTTGCTAATAGGAATTGGCATGTCTCTTTTTTCAGGTGAAATTTATGGCCCATGATGAATAGCTAAAATAAGGCTCTTTTAGGATACGTGAGACAAAGCTCTTAGTAAGCAGCTTCTTTTCTGTTTATCACATTCAATACATTTCCTCTTTCTTGAGGCATCACTGCAATTAATTTTCCCTATTGTTAGTGCAGCTGGACACGGAACATCCTTAATAAGGACGGAGTGTGACACAACAGGGAAGGAAACCATATCTCTTCGTGCACCTTGTTTTCAGTTGTATGGTTTTTTTTCACTCTGCCTGCCATTTCTCACAGCTCCCTTGTAACCACCCTCCATCTCAGCACTAGCCTGATCGCAGTTAATTTAATGTTAGCTTAACTGTTCGTGCTGCTCTGACCCCATACCAGAGGTGCTGGGAGTAGCAAAATGACAAGGAAATCAAATCCGTGGTGGTGCTTTTAAAATAAATGATCAGGGTAGAGAATATACTATGGCTCAGAGCACTGCCAGTTGAAAAGTTTCTTCTGTGCTGTTTGTCTGCAGCTACCAGCGCTTCCAAGAGATGGACTTGGAGGGCACATTTCCATTATGCCAGAATTTGCCATTCTTGTTTTACCACCTTGATTTTTTTTTTTTTTCTTCCCCACGGTTTTGCTCTTTTTGTTCTCCTTCTCATCTTTATTGTTTGTACTGTCTCTTTACATCGTCTACAATCTGTCTCAAATTCTTCTTCTCCTTTTCCAAATCTGTCTCAAACTCTTCCTTCTCCTTTTCCAAATATTCTCCACCATTACCTTTTAGCAAGACTTTTTCTCTTGCCTCTGAGTAGCAGTAGTTTGCCATTTAACCTAATACTGGTGACCTAATTTCTCAAAGAATGCAAGAAATTAATAGGTTCTACTAAGAACCAAAAATAGTTGATTCCGGCTTTTTAAAGAATTTGTAAAATCCCCAGAGATTTTCAGAATTGCATAGGTTTTATTAATATTTAGGCTCCTAATGCAAGCACCTTTTTTTCAGAGCCTGTGTTCGGAGCACAAGCAGCTCTTTGATTTCAGATTTTACAATTTTACCACGACAATTGAGCAATAGTCCTGAGTGAATTTCTGGTTTACAAATACTTAATTAACAATTGTCTGGCATTTGATTCGAGTTGGTAAATTGAACTGAAAGCTGGAGAACCCCAGTAGCAACTGTGTCTTCTGAGGCCCTACATAAAACTGAGGAAGCTATGAGAGGAGGAGGGGGTTAGATTATCCATCTCTCCTGTCTAGATTATTCCTCTCCCCTTCCTGTGAGGTCTGAAGTGTCCAAACTGGTTTTAGCCACTCCAAGCAATAGGATTTTTTTTCTCGTTTGTTTTTAAGTATGCTCTGTATATCAGAGAATTTTCACTGTCCAATTTTTTTTTTCTTTATGTTGTTTTAAGTATTTTTAGTTATTTCCCAGTAATTTCATCCTGAACGTTTCCTTTTTTTCTTAGTATGCCTGTCCTTCTCCTGGCCTTGTCAATGGTAACAGTAGCAGAATGTGATCACATCAGCAGAGTGTTTGGCAAAGCTGTGCATGTTTAACTCCTAAGCATTCTTGCATACATGATTTTCTGCAAAAAGCCCAGATAAATCAGATAAAAGGTGAATTGTTGCTCTGTGCATTTACTGATGCCCTTTTCTCTTAACCAGACTTACAGACTAGAACTAAAAAGAGTAAAGAATCTTCTAACGTCCATCAAGACAGCAGCGGAAAGCTGGGTGCTACACATGTCCCCAACCAGAAGGATGAAGAAGCTGGGCCTGAAGTGTGTCAAGGCCGACTTGAGCTGGACTCACCCAGCGTTTGCAGTGATACACAGCAGCCGTGCCCCGTTGGGAGATCTGTGTTTGACAGACACATGTTGCATGAATTTCTAGAGCAAGCTGTCCCTGAAGATGAGCATCCTTTGCCAATGGACAACATCCAGGAGGATGAAGGTGCTTTTGCTGTCCAGCCACACAGTGAAGAAGACTATGAAGAAGACGTTATAGAACCACGAACTCTTAATGAAATAACAACCATAACGGACAAAACCAGTCCCTGGTCCAGTGTGCTGTCTGTAGTGGAGCAGGGTGCTGACCAGCTGCCCGTAGACTTGGGGCCTGAGCATCAGCACTCGGTGGATATGGACTGTTGGCAAAGAGGAAACCACAGACGGAGCAGCACCTTCTCCAGCACGCTGCAAGGTGACTGCCAAAGCGTGCTCACTGCTGTTAGCCCCCGTGTTAGCCTCCACACAGATCCTTGGGCAGTAACAGAAGGCTTTCCAAGCCTGGAGAGTGGCACAGAAATGATGGAGAAGGAGCTGCTTCAGCCTGCTCATTTCTTGGAAGTGCATCAGACAGCCGGTGGCCCTGTAGAAAATAGAAATTATGACTGGGATAGAACATACAACACTAAACCTGTAGAGCAAAATGTAGAGTTTTGTGGAGCCTCTGAAGTACTGGAGTTTCCACCAGATGTGGGTTTGACCAATCCAAAAACCACGGAAAGAGAGAGGGAGAAAAGCAGTGAGGCTGTGAATGAAGATCGTCAAGACGAGGAAGATAGTGGTTCTGATGAGATCTGTGTTAAGAGTGTATCAGCCCAAGCAGGCTCAGAAGGAAACAGTGACAACTTTTCTGATGACAGTAGTGAAGACCCACTGGAAGAGCCAGAAAAGTCTGCCAAACCAAAAATTCTTTTGTATCCTTTTTTCTGAAGCACGCATTGCATTCAGGGAGCGTCTCATTTCTTGGTTAGATTCTCACTGGCCTCAGGAAAGAGAAATTCGCTGTGTGGAGCTCTTCCCTGGGAAGTGACTCTAGAATTGATGACCTGGGAAGGTGTTGGAAGACCTTGTTACACTGCTGCTCACACAGTGCACTGATGAGTTCCTTACCATTTCTAACCAATATATTCTGTGATCCATGACAGTCGTTTCATTTTGGGTAGTTTCAACCTGATGTCTTGCCTTTTTTTTTTTTCCCCACATTGGCACTATTGTAGCTCTTGTGTTTCTTCCATATTAAAAGAAACAAAGTTTATTTTGCATTTAAAGTACTTTCCCACATACCTTGCACAGCTCCCAAATCTCACAGTCGGTTTCGCTAAGTTGTCTTGGAATTTTTGTGGGATGAAGTACTCTCCAAATACATGAGGTATTATTGCAGAGCAGGCTGGTGTCCTGTGCTCTGTGAGGCTCAGAACAATAGAATATTGATCAAAATGAATGAGATTCACCCTCTGGGAGCCACTAACACCCGTTGCAGCAAGGCTTATTTCACATCTGCAGCAGCTGTGGAGCTCTGCACAGCTACACGCTGCCAAAGGTTGTTCCTTAATGGTTCTGCTCAGATCTGATCCTGTCGTTGTTCCCAACTTCTTCCTTCCCCCCCAGCAGATGGAAGCTTCCATGAGACTGCTCAGCATGTCTTCTCATCCTTCCACAGCTCTGAAAGTAAGTATGAGACATCTTTTCTTTTATTGCCTTAGCTTAACGGGGTCCGTTGGTTAAAACAGGAACAAAAGTGCTTCTCCCTTTCATTGTCAGCGCTCAGTTCAGAGGTGACTGCTTCCAAATCGAGTCAAGGAGAGTCTTTCTGATGCCTGTTCTCTCTGTTAGAATAATTTTCAGCATCGTGGCTGCATTATTGGTGATACTGAAGCATTTATGTTAACCGATTTGTATACAGTAGCAAACGTTGCTCTTCACTGGGGTCAGTGGAAGTGGCAGGTGCTCACTCCACACTTCTTGGTGCTTTAATCTGAGGTAAGGTGCCTGATTTCAAGGGTGCAAGATGTAATTATGACGCCAATTTGTATCTTTTAGATCAGGATGAAATGAGGGAGTTGGTGGCAAGGCAGCCTCTCCTTGAGAGGTATCAAGTCACTCTTCTTTCACAGAGGGAACAGTAGAAATAATTGGGAGTGTTCCTCACCCAGGAAAGCTGTTGATTGCTTTTGCTGTTTCACAGGTGGTTTTATGTGCGTAAACATTTATTTAGGTTTGTGGCTTGGGTTGTTTGGAGGCCAGAGCTTTGCTATGGATGTTGATGTGGATCTGGGTACTGCAGGGGCTGGACTGTTTGTTTACCACTCCCAGGAAAGGTTGGTTGGTTCCCCACCTTATGACCCATGAACCAAATGCTCTAAGGAACATTTATGTAATTGGAAGCAGCTTGCTTGATTAAACAGAACAGAAACAGGCAGCATCTGATAGCTCTGAAGTAATGGAAACTAAATTAATAAACATGTTTACAGCTTGGGTAAAATACTTGACTTTTTGCTGGTTTGTGCTGTAAAAATGATTTTTTTTTCTGATTTACATAATACTATCTTTTTCTGAAGCCCCTGAAACTTGTTTCTGATGAAAGGAGAGACTTCTATCAGAGGAGTCTTGGGCATAGTATGCTTCAAGCATCCTAAGATATACCTTGATTATAACAACCTAGACTGCAGTGTGTCTTAGTGCTTCTTAAACATACTTCTTGTGCTGTGTCAAAATATTTTGGGTGAAATCAAAAGCAGAATCTCAGATGTGCTTCTCTCTTGAAATCACCTTCAAATTCTCCTTGTTCCCTTCTGTCCATCGCTGATGCTCCCATCCCCTCTATCTTGCCATCATGCCTCTGCTTCTGAGGTTTGCTTTCTCTGCAGTTAACTCCAGTTCTTCCTGTGGAAGCACCGTGTCTTTCTGTGCATCTGCACATCATCACTCAAACCTTCAGTTTAATATTAGTATCCGCTTTACTTGAATTCCCTCCCTCTGCAATGCTCAGCTTAGTGGCTAGAAACACACTCCTGAAAGTTATTAATAATTAGGGAGAACATTAGCAAGGCACTATATGGATATAGCTGACCTTAAACCAGCTTAATTCCAGGATTAGCTACAGCTAATCCTTCGCTAGAGCACTTGTAGGGGTCTGCTGAGACCGGGCTCAGTTGTGCCTTGCGTTGTGCACCCAGCATCGAACACCCTCTATGAAAACCAAGATTTTTTTCCCTTATGCCAATGAGAGTTGAGGAAAACTGCTTTCTCGCGTTTTGTTTTTAATTAGCCTTAACAACATCAGTTTCTAAATCTGGGTTTGTTTGGTTCCTGCACAGTTCAGCAAACACCAAGTGTGACATCAAGGCTGAAATCCGAGCTGTGCTCCTCTGGAGATCAGCAGTCCCCTCTCGCGCACGTGGCAGCTGGCAAACCTCTCTCCTGGCCTCCCTGGGGTTCCTGCCACCTCTCCCCACCCTGCCCCACTCCCTCCTTTCCCCACCTCCCTACACAAAATGATGAAGAAACAGTGAGGAGGTGAAGCGGGCAGTCATGGCCGAGGAATGGGATCTGCTCGAGGGTGGGGAGGCTGCAGAGAGACCTGGCCAGGCTGGAGCCACGGGCTGAGCCCTACTGGGGGAGTTTCACTGAGGGCAAATGCCGGGGGCTGCCCTTGGGCCACAACAACCCCCAGGGGGGCTCCAGGCCTGGGGAGGAGTGGCTGGAGAGCTGCCGGTCAGAGAGGGACTGGGGGGTGAGAATGAGCCAGAGTGTGCCCAGGGGGCCAAGGAGGGCAACGGCATCCTGGCTGGTGTCAGCACTGGCGTGGCCAGCAGGGACAGGGAAGGGATCTGAGCCCTGGGCTCGGCACTGGGGAGGCCGCCCCTCGCTGAGTGGGTTCAGTTCTGGGCCCCTCACCCCAAAAAGGCCATTGAATGACTCGAGCGTGGCCAGAGAAGGGCAACGGAGCTGGGGCAGGGTCTGGAGCACAGGTCTGCTGGGGAGCGGCTGGGGGAACTGGGGGGGTTCAGTCTGGAGAAGAGGAGGCTGAGGGGAGACCTCCTGGCCCTCGGCAACTCCCTGCCAGGAGGGGGCAGAGAGGGGGGATGAGTCTCTGGAGCCAAGGCCCCAGCGCCAGGCCCCGAGGGAATGGCCTCAAGCTGCCCAGGGCAGGGTCAGGCTGGCTCTGAGGAAGGATTTCTGTGCAGAAGGGGCTGTTGGGCGTTGGAATGGGCTGCCCAGGGCAGGGGGGAGTCCCCGGGATCCCTGGAGGGGTTGAAGAGTCGGGCTGAGCCAGCGCTGAGGGATCTGGGGGAGTTGGGAAGGGTCAGGGGGAGGGTCATGGTTGGGCTGGAGGAGGCTTTTCCAACCTCCATGACTCTGGGAGTCTGTGAGCTGGCGGCATTTGGAGGCAAAAGGGTTGTCTTAGCTCATGCTGCAAGGACGTGGGGATCAGAGAAGGTGCTGCAGCAGCTCAGGCCTCAGCCTGGACACTGCAGTCACCTTCCAGGGACCTGAGTTTTGCAGAGCCTCACAAAGTCAAAAATATTTTAATCTTTTTTTCTCCATTACATCAAATCCAGGCTTCCAGTTCTCGAGGTCCTTCCCAGCTCTCCCTCCCACACTGGTCACCTGCTATCCCATCCAATCCAGCAGCTCCAGTTCAACTTCTGCTGCTTCTCAAGTTCAGGAGCAGCTTCACACTTTTCTCCTCTCGGTCATTTTCCAGGCCGTTCCTGATACAACTTAGGGAAAATTATCCAAGTTCACGGCTAAACTTAACAGCATCCAACACTCTTTTATATTTACTCTAAAGCTACCAATATTTTTAAATGAGTCACAGCTGTTGTTTAAGTGGCCCAGATTATTATTCAGATCTTATTTCTGACTCTTGCCCCTGGCCTCCCTTCTTCTCCCTCTTTGCGTTTACTGCCTTCATCTGTTCCATATTATTTTATATACTATAGCTGATTTTTCAGGGAAAAAAAATCTAATCTCTCTAGGCGTGTTGTTTTGCACAGAGGGCACTGCAGCATTGATTCTGGTCAGGGTTTGGGGCAGTCGTATGCTAGAGTGAAAACATTTAAATGCGATTCCAATGAGATAACCCGTGTTAGGACTTGCTGCCTTTCAGAGTTGGCCCAGTCTACTGGGAATGAAGCTGGGTTTTGGGGGGACAGGAGGAAGTATTTAAAAAATTGAAGAGTTAATAAAATTTTCATTAAAATATCTTGATTTTCTTCCCCCCTTCATGTCTGTGAATATTCCAAAATGTTAAGAAATTTATATGGAAACCAGTTTTATTCAGAATAATTAATATTTTTACATATACATAGATTTACTTTAGTATAAATTAGAAATAACACTTTCATAACACAGACTTAGGCAGATTCAGAATAAGAAGCTTTTATCTGTTCCAAAAATGCAGATGGTTAGCAGGGCTCCAAACATCCTTTCCTGGCTGTCGTTTCTTCTTGCTCTTGCCCCCATTTCAGTCACAGCCACTAAAGCTCTTCTTTTCCCTTATTCAGCTTACCCAGAGAACAGAGCTAAGCCTTTCACTCATTAAATTTGTCCTCCTAACCTGCTGAACAGAAACGCTGACGTTCTCCACCATCAGAAAAAGAAGAAAAGGTGGCTGTATTCTTCACCTCCGCTTCAGAGCTGTTGGCTGTGGTCTGTGTTTTGATGCAAACCTTTTCCTGTCCAGAAAGCAGAAGGTGGTACAAGGTCACTCCAGGGGCAGGTTGTAGCCCATTAACACAGATTTCACTCCTTCATTGCTGTGCAGAAAAAAACCCAGCTGTTAAACTTGCTGAGCCACCAGGCTGAAATGTTCCCGGAATTCTTTGACCTTGAAATAAGCCATCCCCTCCCCAAGACCTAGAATATACTAATAAATCTGTTTGCTTTACTCCAGTTCTTGGCACACAGTGATTAGATAACCCTGGTTTAAGTGTCCTGCCTCATCGGTGCCATTTCTATAAAAAGAAACGTGAAAGGTGATTTTCTGTGCATAAAGTCCTCCTTCCTCTTGCATCTCTCCGATTAGAGGTGTCTGCTTCAGGAACACGGGGTCTCCTTGTGCTCAGGTCGTAGTTTGAAGTGGCAAAAGCCATTTTGGAGGCAAGGAATGGTGTAAGCATGAAGTAACAGATACGTCCTCTCAAAATTGTGCCGAAAGTTAAAATTCTGACAGTTTGAAACTGCCTGTTTGATGCATCAGTGGAGCATTTTAAGGGAGCATTGAGGCTAGAAGGTCTCACTAAATGTTCTGTGTGTGAAGAATTTGCGAATTTCAAAGAAAAATAGCTTTATAGAGAGGGAAGTATAGAAGTGTAGCTCTTCCCTCGTATTCATATCCCAGAATTGTCAGTGAAACTAAACCTGCAGATGTAATTTTGTAATAATCTGTGCGAGCTGGGAGCCTTGACCACACGTTTCAGCTTCCCTGTTCTCAATTCGCACCTGCGCCTGTAGAATAGCAGCAAGAAGAGCTGCTAAAACCTTTCCTACAGCTGGAAATGTGTCTCTAGGCAGGTCCTCGGGACAGATCTGTGCATCTGCAGGTGGAGGCGGCAGGATGAAAAACGGAGGAGGAGGATTTTAGCCACTTCTCTCCCAAACAGCACCAAAGTGGGATATTTTCCAAGCACGCCTCATTTACTGACAGCTGGGAGAGTACAAACTGCTTTCTGTCACCTCGGTGCCATCTAATAGCAGCAGACAGCTGCTCTTCTGTTGTATTCTGCCTTGTAGAGTACAGTGCTCTGTTGGGGTGTGTTACTGCACCGATGGCAGAATGGGAGCGAGGGGCAGCGTTTGCTGCAGCAGCCTCTGGCCGGTAACAGCTCAGGTCGTGACGTGCCCCCGGGGCAGGAGAAATGCTGTGCCACGTCTGGATTGTTAACTGTAGAACAAAGGGGAAAATCTCATATAATTTCTTCTTTAAAACCAATTTTAAAAATTTATACAACCAGACTAAGATTATTTTACATCTGGTTTGGGTCACTAGTGCAAGCACCCCCCCCCAAGTTATTTCTGCAGAAATACTCAGCTGTGCTGCGGTCTCTGCTGGATTCTTGAGGCAGTTTTGTTCTTTACCTTTATTTTATCCCAGACATGACATCACCTTCTCTTCTGAGTTGCAGCCCTTGCAGCTCCTCCCACAGAAATTCACTGGAAGTGTCCTGTCAGGTCAGCAAAAGCCATCTGCATTTATTTCCTTCCACTCAGAGCGTGAGTTGCCATCTCTCAGCTCCAAGAAATAACTCTTTGAAATAGGGTTATTTGGGTGATTTGAGGAATTTGATAGAGAGCTGTTGCTACAGGGTAAACCTGCTTCTGGTTTCATAACACAGCTGGTTCCTGCAGGCTTTTCACCTGCGCGTAGTTGTGCAGACAATCTTTTTTAGGTGTGTTAGTGGTGTAGGATCCTCCGGGGTAGAACAGGGCGCTCCTCAGAGGACAAGCAGCATCACTGCAGCTGGAAGGAAAGTTTCTGAAATACAGTGCCAGGGCAAAGCAGCACGGGGTTGTCTAGCTACAGTTTGGCCGGCGTGTTGGATTTAAGAGCCGGCGTTTCCTTGGTTTTTTTGCTTTTGTTACAGTTACAGACCTTCCTAGGCCGAGGGATAGGGCGTTCCATACCAATTCCTTGCAAATACATAAAACTGATGTTCAGAAGCCAACGCTGCTTGATGCACTGAAACCAGAAACCTTTTACCAATCTCTGAGCTTTCACTTGGAACCTTTTTTCCCTGTGAACCTCTTACAACTGCTGTGCAGAAATGAGGGACCAGCGCTGAGCCAGCGTGAGCTGGTTACTGTCCATCTCCAGCCAGTACTAATGTTTCAGCTGTTTCACGGACAGTTGGCACAGAAAACAGCATGGGAAGAACAAGCTACTGTCATTTCTGACCGACCTGGAACAGAACGAGCTGTCAGAGGGAGGTGGTCTGCCCAGCAAGCATCTCTCTGCTGGTTTTTAAGCTTCTAATGCTGCCAGGTCTGCGTTTAATCTCTCTCAGCTTGTTATAGTTTCATTTAGAAAAATCATCCTAAAGCAGTGTTAAGAAAAAAACCCAAGGATTCTCATAAATACACATGTATGTTTTTTCAGTGTGATAAAAAAGGGGAGTGTTTTGAAGCATTATGCCCGTAGCTGTTTTCCTGGATGCAGTCTGAAGTCTTTTGCAGCACTAGTCACTTAATTTTTACACAATCGGCCGTATGAAACTGGGAGGTGGTACAAGAATTCCTAATTACCTTGGCATCAGCCATTTCTGTACTGTTGGACGAGCTGGTCCCACCCTTGTCATCCTTTTCATTACCCAGCCAGCGACCAAACCCATGGTGGTGGTGAGTGTTGGTCCATCTGCCTCCTGAATCCAGCTGTGCTGGCTCAGTGTGTCTGAAAATCAGCCTTTAGGAGACGCTGGCCTGGGGTGACAGCCTCTTGTCTGTTTGCAGAACTTATAGCTGATGTTAAATTAGCGTTAAAGGATTTCCCCAGCCTGCGGGTTCCTCTGGGCTGGCTTTATAAACAACTCAGAGCTGGGCCAGCACCTCAGCGGGTGGCAACAGCTCACAAAAAGCGCCCTCCCTAGATATGTTATAACATACAGTACAAAGAGTCTTTAGTGATTTTTCAGGAACTTTCAGCTCTAGATTCATCATCAATTTCAAAAGTCCACTGTATTCCACAGTTTTGGCTAGTTCTTATCATTCCCTTCCAATTCCTCTTCAGACACCACTGCCGACTGATGCAGTCTTCGGTCATCGTGGTAACTTATCTTCTGAACAATCTTCATCATAATTCACTTTTAGACTTCTGAGAAAAGACTCAAAATGTTCTATTTAACAGATACTTAATCTCTGTCTAGCTTTTCATTACCTAGCCTAAGTTGCTTAAACTGTCAGTATTGTTCCTAGAGCACCTGTGCTCTATTAATTAAACCTTTAAAACAACGTCTATTTATTAATTATTCCTGCTATTAATAATATCCTAAGAGAAAACAGTTTTCTAAAGCTTGTTCCTTTTACAATTAACTTACAATTAGCCTCACGTGCTTTGCCCTGGCTCTAGCAAGCACAGTTACACCCAGGAGGTACAGACTGGGGGGGTGGTGTTTATCTGCAGACTTTTCCCTTTCCTACCTGTCACGTCCAGGTAACCAAATGCAAGAAATCTCCAAACCCGCTGATTCTGAAAAAAGGCATTTCCCTCCACAAACGGTGCACATCAAAGCAGGGAGTGCACAGGAGCAGGAGGGAATGGTTCACCTTAGGAGACCTTTCCACCAGCGAGGCAGGGCCCGGCGCGGAGGGTGAAGCAGCTCAGCGATGTAGGCGAAAGGTCGGCGCGGCGTATCGGCTTCCCAAAACAACCCCCCCTCGCCACCAGACGTTCCTGGCCCCACGGCTACTGAGCGACTCGTCCTAAACCAGCAGCTTTTGCTTCAACCAGGTCTCTCCTCTCTTGGTGCTTCACGAGCACGACCTGGCTCTAAACTAGTTGGGGAGAAATGTGAGTTTCTTTGTACATGGAAATGATCCGTCTTTAGTGCTGCTGTAACCGCTGGGAGGATGTGTGCAAAGCAAGGATGCTGGTGAAGTGTTTAAAATCTCGTGGGCTGCTGAGATTGAGCTGTCTGGCAGCAGGCTTGGATTTGTTGTGTAGGAGCCTTGCCTCTCCATTGCAAGGTGGTTTGGTTTTTAGCGTCCTGCAAATTAAAAATAAAATCATCACTGAAAATGAAGAGGGGCAGAGCCCAGCGAATCCACTGGTGTAATTTCTTTAGCTTCGTACAAGGTGATTTTGACCGACGACAGACAATGACAGATTCAGAGTTTCCTTGCCAGACCCAGGTGACGTGGTTTGGACCTTTTCTAATTCTGGTTTTTAGCTTTTGCTTTCTGCAGCATCTCATCCTACATTGGGCAGGGAAATATTTCACCATCCTGGATTGTTTTTTCCAAGCAGTTGGAACAAACAGCTTTTTTTTTTTTTTGTCACACAGTTGTGCCTCAAGTGTGCGGAACAAACCCCTCCAAGGGGAACCAGTGAGCAACAGAAAACCCATCATGAGGGTTTTTTTCACATGTAACCAATTTCTTGACCCTGTGGTGATCAGAGAAGAGGCACGGGGCAGAGCTGGCAGGGCTCTAACATCTTGTTCCCTCTCTCTGCAGAGCAGAAGTGGAGCCGTGCTCAGGGGCATCCCGTACCGAAGGCCGAATCATCCCCGGCCCGTAGCCGAGCTCTCGGAAGAGGAAACCGAAAGAATTGCCAGGATTTTCTCTGCTCAACTGTCCAAGAAGGAATGACACTGGCGAGAGGCCGTCCTGCTTCCCAAGCCATGGCCTGACACATCGTCCAGGTCCTCAGGGAAGAGGAGATGGAAGCTGTAGGTTTCAGGCTCTGGTTTTTAATTTGCCTAATTGGGATCCCGTTAGAGGGATTTAAGGCTGATGCTCAACCCAGGGGAGCTGAGAGACCCTGTGTCTTGCAAGAGCAGGTCCCCAGTGAGACTCACCGCTTTGGGTAACCTGCTCTCCAGATACCCTGTTTTGGGGATCTATTCATGTGAAATATCACTAATTAACCTTTATCTCGAGTAAACAAAAAGTATCCCGTTTTGAGACAGGTTTTTTTTTCAACCAAAGGATGGAGAAGGTTAGAAATTTGTGAGAATTAGAACTGATGCCTCCCTGCCAGTGGGTGCTGTGGAGGGGGAGGGAAGATGAGCTTCCCTCCCCAGTGGCCTTTCAAAAATAGTTGGTGGGAAGCAGAATTTGCTGATTCTAGAGGAATTTATGTGCTCAAGGTGTTTGAGTAAAATACTGTAAAATACTGACGTGTGTACAAAATGGGTTTACTAGAAATACAGAGCTTTTATATTCTAAATTATTTTTGTACATTTTTACATCGGGAACGTTTGGATAACGGGCTTTGATGCGAACCCAGCTAAGTTATTTTTGTACTGCTCTCCAGGGTTTGTTTCAATAAAATTCTCTTCGTTTCTTGTCGTCTGGTGCGAAGCGTCCCGGCGCCGGGTCACGAGCTTCTCGTTAACAGGTGGAGGCAATTCCTTCCCCCAGAGCCTCCAGGAGCAGGAGGGAATTGTTCCTGGAAGACACGGGGGCACACGGAAAGGTCACCGCTTCCCAGAGTAACCAAACAGCGCCTGGAAACGGGGCAAGAGAAGGCTCCAAGTCAGAGCTTTGCCCTTAGCATCACTTTTTTAACCTCTGTGGTTTTATTTTTCACAGGGGGGAGAAGCCGAAATGCAGAATTTAATGTGAACACAACCCCCACGCTGGTAAAATCTGCTCGTGACTCACGTACCTACAGCAAGAGGTTCCTACAGTTTCAATGCTCCTCAAAAGTACTTAATCCACATTTCGTACAGCTTAATCACTTTTTCACTTGCTAGGTTCAGGATTTTCTCTAGGAAATCTCAGGGTTAAACAGCACGTTAGCAGCTCCTGTATCACTGAACACAGACACTCTTAATGAAGCTATCGGGCATCCCCGCGGGACACTGGCTGCGTTGGGAACATGGTGAGAGTGGAGGTGACAATGTTGACTCCTGAGTTCTGTGTTGGGCAGGAGACAAACAGCTTCTTCCTCTTGCATTTAGGTCAGCGGTGACGCGGAGTGCTGGCAGCCTGAGCGCGGTGTCGGTGCCGGAGGAGCCTCTGCCCAGGACAGAAGGTGCCTTCGGGGTGCTAAACCAGCCCAAAATCCCTCCGGTGAGGGAAAGCAGAGGCTTTCTTGCCCAGGCGATCTTCCACCAGCCCTTTGCACAGTGGGTTAAAAACACGGAGCTTTAAGAAAATGGAGAAAAAAGGGGCATTTCTTGAGCCATCACCCCACCTTGTCCCTGAGCTCTGTCCCTCCTGGATTTTGCCATGCAGAGCACCAACACAGGAGGGCTTTATCCTGCCCTCGGGGGCCACGTTACACCACGTGGAGGAAATCCTGACAGGATGGGTTACAGCTGCGTGGGCTGTGCCAGGGGCAAAGAGGGGGGGAGCACTCGGTGCTGCTCTGCCTCCAAACAGCTCCTCTTTAAACGCTTGGGCAAGTGTTTTCTGCCACTCATCCTTCCCAAGAGTGTTTGGGTTAAAAAAAAAAAACAAAACAAACAGATTTGACCATCCCTGAGGTCCCAGTGGCCACCGCTGTTGGGTTCTTCTAGGCAGAATCCCCCCACACCCAGGCCCTGTGGTGGTTGGGGGGAGCAGAGGGCTGGAACACAGCCCCCCCATCACAGGTGCAGGGTGGCCCTGCTCTCACCAGCTCAAATGCCACCGGGGGAACTGAGTTTCACTGTCACTTGATCCCCGTGGCTGCTGGAATGTCCTCCCGGGTGCTATATAATGGGGGGGGCCAAGGAGCTGGCTGGGAGGGCGATGGCTGCGTGGAGAGGGGTGTAAGGCAGGAGCTGGGACACGGTGCTGAGGTCCCTACGGTGAGGTCCTGGGGGGGGGGGG